AGATGTTCGTTGGCAACAGCCCGCTGCAATGCATTCTGGCCCATGTAGTCCACAGCGTTGACGTTCAAGTTGGGTACTTGGAGAAGCATGCGCCGCACTTCTGGTATGTTGCCGTATTCAGCTGCTTCCAGGAAACGCTGCTCAACCTCTGACGGGCTGATTGCGGGAGCAGAGAACATGTAGGCTGGACCACGAAGAGCCTGGCGTCGTTTAATAGCACCGATAGGAGCCATGTGCTGTCTCTCAGAGCTGCTGATGCCAGAGAGTCGGGGGACATAAACACAGTATTGTCCACATGGTACCTTATATACACACACATAAAACCTTTTGGAAACAAAACATTAGTTACTTGTTCCCAGTTTCATCTCAATTTCACATTCTGCAGCCAAAATGTTTAGTGGCTTAAGATGTGGATAATAGGATTAAATCATGAATTCTACTTATGTGTTGGCAGAACAAATACAGAATTTGCCTTTTTTTTAAAGCATCCCAAGTTGATCTGCTGCAAGCTTTTATTTGGTGTATTTAATATCTGACAAAAAAAACTTAGAACTTAGAGGTGAAATGTTGAATACTCTAAGTTCTGACAGAGTATTTGACTACAATGAATATGAAACATAAATGTATTTTTATATGTATCCTATTATATTCTAGTTTACCAGTTTTAAACATTGCTCTATAGAAACTACAATCTTAACTTTTCTATAATGATTGGATAAAATGTAAAAAAATAATACCAATAGTGAGAGTATACAGGCCAAAGTTGAAATCGAAATGTTATGCTTTCAACCCTGATTTCACTTTGTTGACCAAATCACTTCCTCATGGACCATTTGTTGATTGCCAGAAAGTATAATCTTTTTCCACGTAACTGCAGCGTTGGAAAGTAAACTATAGTAATGTAGAGAATAGCCCCACTTAAATTAACATGACATGTTTTTCATATTAATTATCTGATATTTTATTGTCCATGGGTTTTCAGAGATAAACCTGAGAAAGCTGCTGTCTCATACAGTGAATTAAGCAGTAAATAAGATAATCCTTAAACATTTGAGGGACTATTAAAGGATACTCTGTGACATCACAAACATAAAAAAAATCATTTTAACCTCCATCAACTCGTTTTAGTAGTTGTTTTTAAAGATTTAAAAACGACTGAACACTTTTATTATCGAAATAAGTAGCTACAGACATGTTGAGGTCATTGTAGCTTTAACTGGATTAATTGAAGATTTTATCTTATTACCTTATGTTATGCTTCTTCATCAGTAGTAATTTTCGCTGCCATCCATTTATGATGTGCAACATGGAAATCCACAACCGTAGTACTTCTGATTATACAACAGGGCCTACATTTTATCAATGTGAATTTCAGTGATACATGGACATGCCTGTAATTTACATGATAATCAAACATGCTGGATTAAAATAAATGCTGTAAAATTGAAAATGCTATCCATAATTCTCCTGTTATTTCAACCAAACCTGCAGATGAAGGTGAATACAGAAACACACACACACACACACACACATCTGGCTGAGTAGGGTATGTAAATGAAAGACTCACCCGAGGCATCGTCCAGAGCAACAGTTTTCTTCTCCGAAGTCATCGTACATCAGCAGGTTATCGCGGCTGCGAGCCCTGGGGCTGTCGTTGTAACCCGCAGGCCGGCTGTTGTGATGAAGCGCTGGCGGTCTGTGGCTCATCCCGGAGGTGGTCAACAGTAGAGAGGGTCCTGGTTCATTCGAAGGAGTAGTCAAGTGTCTGTGGCATGACTCCCTCTCTCTGTCGCCCTCCCCCCTCTGTCTCTGTGTCCTTGAGAAAGAATGTATCCTTCTGGGTCCCACTATACTTTTATTTACTTGTTGAACTATACAGATGTGGAGGGCAGCTCAGTGTTATGATGACATATGGCTATATTTGTCTTAACTGTTTCAGCTGAATCTTCTTCCTGATTTTCTCTCACAGGACTCCCTGCATTAGTTTTGAGAATACAGGCTAACCTGCAAAGATTATGTAGATAAGGACAGAATATTCTCACAATACTGTGCTTTGCCAACAGTTTTAATGCTTGCGCTGTAAAATGCTATTTTAAACCGCAGTGTTTAGAGAACATGTTGAGTCTGTGTGTGTGCAGGAGTAACTGATTGCTGATGAACAGCAGATGCGATTCCTCAGGGTTTAAATTCCCAGCAGACTATGCTTCCTGTGTGCTCCCATTCTCCCGTGATCTCTGTACAGTGTGTACAGACTTCCCATCCTACACATACACACGTGTGTTAATGTCTGTGATTGAAGCATGCATACAAGTATTTCGTCACCAGCAGGTCAAAGATGAGTGACAGCACCCACCCAGTGTTTCCACACACACTTCATTATTTATGATGGTACAATATGTTCTTCTTCGTTGTCTGTCTGTTTTCAAGCTGAATTTCGCATAAAACACCCCATTACATCACAGCAACACGTCGACATGCAAACATCTGATAAAGCAGAGTCTCTGATGTACGAGTGTAGTGAAAATTGCCTTTTAAGGCCCTGATTGCTGAAGATTAGTCACTTTGGACGTTTCATGACGTAACAGCGTCACATTTCACGGGGAGGATGGCAGGGTGAAAAGGGGGAAACTCTGACAAATGTCACCAGCGCGAGTTCTTGTTAAGACGTCTTCCTCAGAAGAGACCCTTAATATAAACACTGTCAACTCAAACATACACACTCTTATTTGGGGGGAATGAGTGAGCACCTGGACAGTCATTTTTTACGTATGTGTTTTGGTACCACTGATTCTGTTGATAACATTTTAGGATCTCTGGCTTTTTGTGTGGTCTGGTATGTGTATATTGCTAGGGTTAATGAACCCATACACACACACTAATATATGTGTGTGCTACTGCGCAGGAATAAGGAGATGGGGGATTATAGGAAAATGTTGGTGCTACAAACGAGCATCCTGGACTGTGGAAACAACTGTGGCGGTAATAGGAAACTCTACATACTGTTTTTGAGTCCTTTAGGCACATTTTCCTAATATTTGCAACTCTGCAGACTTTGCAGAATAACCCGCATCGCTGAGCGTTGTGATGTTAAAACGGTTATGACAGTATCACATAAGGGGTTTTAACTGGTCAAAAGGATCTGAATTTTTCTTTTGGCACTGCAAATATGTTTGTGTTTCTACATTAGAATACAACTTCAAGTACCATGGAAGAGATTGCCAACATCCTCATCTCAGAAGTCATTGAACAAGCTGCTGTGAATCTCTGTGAGCTGATGATATCAATCTGTTGCTGAGAATGTACCACATATGAGGGAGACAGACGAATCCTCAACTGGTTGTCTCTCCCAAAAGAAGATGCAGCAACACCTGAAAAGGTTTTTCGCTATGCGGCAAGTGTTTTCTGAGCATCATGGGGACATTCTAGAAGACGAAGAGGTCACTTCCCCAGCACCTCTCCAACCATGTCTGAGTAAAGCATAATGTCATACTCCTCTTCACGGAGGTCCATCCCAGACTCGGACATCTCTGAGATTATTGCACCTCATACACGGGATATCAATGAAAAGATTCAAGGCAGCCAACATGCTCGTCTTCCAGGTGATTGACGAAGGTGTCGTGACACTGAAGTCCACTGAGTGAGGACGGTGCGTACCACTGATACTGCCAGCAAAGCTGAGAAAGCAGTTGGAAAGTCATTTGCAGATTTCCATGAGAAGGTGAAAAGTAGGAAATCCACAGACTTTTGTGATGGCAGACTGCTTCCGAAACTGAGGGGGAGTCGCCTACTCCTGACCTGGCGGACAGATGCTGTCAGGCGTTTTCTGAAAACCTTCTGTCGCACTTCCATGGCCTAGATAGTTCAAGTCTTGCCCTTTTGAAGGCTAGGAGGAATATGACAAGACTGAAGCTGGTGGACAGACCACAAAAAGTCCTCGAGAAACAAAGATCTTGGAGAAAGAGGCAGAAGATGTCGGAGAAAGCAAAGACGTTGGAACATGACTTTCTCTGTTTCTGAGAAACCAGACTACCAGTCTGAAGACCTTCAGCGTTCATTATAGCCGCAATATGTTCAATGTTCACCGAGAGAAGAGGTAATGCGTGATGAATAAGGTTTGTGACGGTTGGATAGACATGAACCTCTCCTGGTTGAATCGCCAGTACAAAAGATTAACAACTATGTTAGAAAATGTCTGGTTCTGTGGTGATAAGAAATTAAAATCTCGAAGTCTGTTGAAGTAGAGAAGTCAGTTATGACCCTCGAGGTGCATTTCAGTAAGAAACGTCCAATCACAGAGCTTCAATTTCTGTTGTGTGCTCATGTTGAGATGAAGTGGAAGATTACACTTTGTAAAAACATGATAAGACATGCATCAGTTCCAATTAGTTCACTTTGAAATGACTGGTTGAACGGTTAAATGACTGATTATTATATAAGATTTGTCCAGAGTTTCTATTGTGAAATTGCAACATCCTGTATTAAATTGCATAGAGTTGCTTGAAGTCTCAACGTCTCAAAGAACACACCATGTTTGAGAGATTCACAGCACCCCCCACTGGAGTGGGTCGGTAGTTCAGGAGCGTCATGTTCACCTGTTGCTGCCAGTCACATTTGAACTTCACGGTACAGATTCACTCAGCTTGAGATGCATTCATAGTTGCTGCTTTTCATGCTTCCCTCTATATTTTATAAAACAAGATTATAGGGTGTGCCTATAGGAGTTTTTTCTTCATTATCTTGCATAAATCTTTTCGAAGATTGTCCGAGGCAGAAGTCGGCACAGGCTTGACCACCTTTCGTGATCTTTCTGACAGTAACACAATATATTGCCAGAGCATATTTAGTGTAATTGTTTCTAGGAATATAAGCTGCGTACATTTACCAGCTGCTCCTAAAAAATTTCCCCTGGGGTTTCTCCTGCTTTGATAAAATCGTTGGCCCTCTACACAGAACTTTGGATCAGATGAGAAAGGTCTTTTAAGCTTTAACTAATAGGTTTTATACGACTCATAAAACAACTTTGCAACCCAAAAGTTGCTTTTATTAAAACCTGATCAATAAAGCATTAGTAAAATATTCATCAACCTTTAATAAAGCCATTAGTTATAAGTAAGTTACAAACATTTTTCAAAGGGTGCCTTAAAAGAAAATTGTACCTATTTTTTTGTTTTCCTCTCGGAGATGACGGAGATGTTTGTGCTACTTTTCTTATTATTTTGGTTTTGTTGTTGTTATAGATTGCATTATAACATCAGGCATATTTGTCCTCAAGAGTCAAAGCAAAATCACCTTAAAGGAATAATTTCAGAGCAGGTAATTTGTTGCAATGAGGGGAAACAATTAAAAAAACGAGATATCCTTCCATCCTGTTTTATTAGAACTTCAGGTTTTACAACGATGCTGTGCAATTTATGCGATATGTGTTTTCTTCCTCTCTCCCTCTGCTTCTCCTTTCTGTCAATTATTGGTCGCAATCCTCCTAATCTTCATCGTGACCGATTTGATGGTGTGAGGGACTCCGTTCTGTCTCCAGGTGTCCCACAACATGTGCGTCCTCTGCCCCTGGTTTCGCTCTGCGTCTTCGGGGGAGCCGTTGAGGTTTGCCAGGCCGCACCGGTTGAACCACCATCCTGTCTGGTTGTGCTGGCTGCTGCAGCTCTCCACTGTACGGTTGCCGATGGAGCAGGAAGGATTACAGCCGTCATTGTCCACGTCTGAGGCGCTGAATGGAGCCGTGTCCTGGTTCTGATCCTGGTCGTAGCCGCGAAATGCATCACCTGAACACACGCAGACATGCACACAGGTATGCAGACGTGCACTTGTTGATTGTGAACATATATACAAGTGCATTTATCATTATTTTGACTTTGCATGGTGTGGTGATAAAGCACAACATTTGTCAATTACTTTTTGTAAGTCTTGAATAATTTAGTCTTACCTGCGCTGCCTGCATATCTGCCCAGGTGAATACTGAAGAACTCGGTTTCATTGTCCAGGTCGAAATCATCATATGCTGCGTAAGAGATGACGTCATCGTGGGACACCAGAGCGATGTGAAGTTGGAACCGAGTATCTTTCTGGTTTACTATATGAAATGCCTTCTTCAGACCCAGCCAGTGTTCTCCTACACACACACACACACACACACACACACACACACACAAAAGAGAGATTGTATCATTACTAATATCATTGGCAAGTGCAAAATTAATCTTCAACATTTGTAAGTGAGACAGCATAAAATCCATCTTTGGAGTCTCTGGACATTTTCTCGATTTTTACATATTTTCTTAAATTCACCTTTTAAAGGCATTTGCATATATGATACATACCCATGTGTTGTATATCAAAATGTGCAGAACAATCTCAGCTCTCTGTATAATGAGGCACCAATTGCCCTAAGGCACCGTGTAAAGAGATAATGTGTCCCTAAAGCTGAAGTCCGATTTTTGAAATTCTTCAAATCTCTTTTGAGAACATACCTTTACTCGTGTGGATAAATTGTTTTGGTGCTTGCAATTGGTTTGCCAAAGTCTTAGGTTCACACAAGTAGTGGAATATATGAATAAAATAACAGATAAGTGTATAATAAAAGTCTAAAACCAAATTTTGTAATATCGTTTTTTGAGTAGAAGTGTTTCTGTCACTCTACTGTCACCACATGTTCGAGGGACTGAGTAATGACATCATACTACAGATCAAGCTTCATGGGCTGTGTGCAAATGAAAAATGAACATTACAACAGTTTTTGTTTTCAAACCAAATATTTATGTATAAAAACAAAACAGACTATTTACAATATTGTTTCAGTTTTTCAACTCTCATGCCATGCTGCAAAACAGTTTCTGTCCACCTGCACGCAGAGGGCAACATCACACTCCTTGCATTTCCACGGTGTGTCCTTTCGCTGGCCTTGGATTTGGCAATGTTCACACCTCCTGCGGCCCGTGGTGGATTTCATTCTGGGGCCTGCTGCACATTGGACATCAGCGATAGGCACAGGAATATGACCCGCAGGTGCCCGGGCAGGAGCTGTGCGGAGAGGCTTGCCACAGAGCGCAGCAGTCAGCTCCTCCATGAAAGCTCTGTGCGTCATGGGTTTTGTTTGCTGGGCCAGACACAGTTCCTTGTGAATAATGTAGCTGTTGGTGGTGGCGACGTCCAGAAAATGATAAAAAAGGGTTCTGTACCAGCGCATGGTTTTGTGTTGTGCGGCGTAATATTGCTGGTCTGATCGATCAACTCCACCCATGTGTTGATTGTACTCTGCAACTGGTGTGGGACAGGGGACTGGTACCCTTGACCAGGAGCCATCCTGGTGTTTCACCCTCCTCAGCACAGTTTTGCCAGAGTATGCCGTGTGAATTGTGGAGCAGACCGATACTTCGCCTCGTGTCCATCCATTTCACGTAGACGATGGGGCCATCCCGGATCCATCTCATGGAGCCTCTCTCTGACCTCTTTGTGAGGGCGTTCACATCTGTCCGAGGGCACTCCTTGCAGTACTCCCTGTAAGTCCCACAGGCAGCAAATCTGTACGCATGGAGAGCCCTGAAGAGCTTGGGGCTAGAATAAAAATTGTCCGTATAAATGTGGTAGCCTGTGCCGAGGTAACCTGCTTTCACGAGGGACATCACAACATCATAGGCCAGGCCATGTCCGGAGGGGATGTTGCTTTTGCCGGTGTAAATTGAAAAGTCCACTGTGTAGCCATTCCTCGAGTCAGCCAAGACAAACAGCTTGAATCCCCACTTTGTGGGTTTGTCCTTCATGTACTGGGTTATCCCAGTTTTAGCCTGGGAGGCGACCATTCTTTCATCCGCAGCCAGGTGTATGTGGGGATGATAAAATGCCTTACAGGCATTCTTGATGTTGTCCATCAGGGGTTTCAGTCGGAAGAGTTTGTCGTGGTCGGCTGTGCCCTTTTTCCTGTCATTATGGACATCCTCGTCAGGGTCGCTAAGATGAAGGTTCCAAGATATTGTTCTGTATCTCTCCCGTGGCATGATCTGTGATGGAAGAGGCAAGGAAAAAAAAAGTGATTCTGCCTCCAGTAATCCACAATACTATCTAGATTTACCAGGGCCATGTACAGAAGCAACCCAATGTACTTGTAAAAGTACCCTACGTCCAAGTCTGTCCATTTGTACTTCTTTCCGTGTGATATTTGTTTAGCAGCCTGCTTGTTTGTGTTTTGACACAGTGTTTGTACTGTTTGTACAGGGAAGAAAAGTTTGAAGAGGTCGAGGGGTGTATATGTGGAGGTGGAGCTGAGCTGTGGCCCTGGTGTCCGAGCAGGTTGAAACCTGGAGACAGGGGGAGCAGTGTCCGGGTCTTTGTCCGTCTTCCAAGACAGCGGGGGTGGGGGCGCCGGTGCTGGTGGCTGCGGTGGAGGTACCTTGTGCTCGGGTGGGACGGGACCTCTTTGCTGGCCGGGCTGGTGGCTGTGGTGGTGGGGCTGGTAGTGATGGCTGTGGTGACCTGGTGGCAGGCAGAGAAGGACGTGGTGGCTGCTGCAGAGATGCTGCATGTTGTTCACTGGACCCTAGCAGCTGTGAATCCTCTCTGTAAAAATAATATGAGACAGTCATTGAAAGAAAGAACTCAAGAAAGTTCTCACTCCCTTTCTCCTTTTCCCTCCACATCCCCCCCACACACAACAAGATAGATACATACATACTTTATTCATCCCCAGGGGGAAATGTGTATGTTACAGCAGCAAAGATATACTTCAGCAAAGTAACGGAGTAAAAGTAAAAATGACTGACGGTCACATTTAGCTAACGTTACGCACAAATTACTGTGATATTGCAAAACAAAGTTTTTGTAAATGCACTTACCCATCTTCAAATGGATCCCTGTTATTTTGGTATTCCTCTTCATCGTAGGAATCAAATCCCTCAGGCTCTGAAGATCCTCCGCCATCCTCACTGCTGCTTTCCCAAAGCACTTCGCTAACTGTAAACTTTATCTTCGCCATTTTCTCTCTTCTCTCTGACCTCTCGGACGTCGACTGAATGAAGCGTGTTTCACACAAAATGTAGACGGACACACGAATCCACAAAGTACGGTGAGGGGCGGAGCTCGACGGGTCGCGATCTGCCTCTGTATTGGTCCTATCCGAGCTCGCTGTGTGAGTCACGTACAATCTCGCGAGCATACGGACACGGAAGTGGAGAGTCTACAGATTCCGACAACATCTGACATGCTGTATTGTCGTGGAGATATTAACAGAAACACCGAGTAAACGCGCCGGCGCGTTCGTCGTTTGGTTTTCAAACCATGTTATGTTGCATATTTTGGAGCACTAAACTGACATTTAACATTATATAAGAAATTGAAACATGTTACTGCCATTATAAAACTTTTGGACTTAACATGCTGCAAATTCATGAAAAGTAAAACAGTTTACGCGCAATATATAACAATAATGAAATAACAGATCAACGCACCATGCTAGTGGAAATGTTATTATAACAGCTTACAGTTTAGGGAAGGCTCTGTCTTGGTTTCAACATGACAATGCTCCTGTGCACACAACCAGGTCCATAAAGATGGTTTAGTTTGGTGTGGATGACTGGCCTGCACAAAGGCAAAGACCTCACTCATGCTTTTGTGGCTGAAGAGCCAAAAATATTGTCGAAAGCCTTCTCAGAGGAACACTATTCAACAATCACAATTGGATGTAATACTTTAGGCGATGTATGTATTAATGTTCATTTTACAAACTCACAGTGTCGAGGTCTGCATGTTAACTGGTGTTCTTGAGCAGTGAGCCGGACACACCTTGCACACATTAGCTGTTACACCTCAACGTCCTCCTTATGTTGGTTTTTAAAGCTTATAACAGGAAACGGGCTTCTGTCTCCGTCTAAAGTAACTTCACACAACCTGCAAGGTTTCCAAAGCCGTCGACATAATCAGCCCAGGCTCGCTTGAAGTCAGTTAATCCATCAGCCCTCCGTTGCATCACCGTCCATCCGCCTCCCATGTAGTCCATCTCACAGAAAACCTGCAGCAACAGGTTGTGTTTTCACTGCAGATTAAGTGACAGACTGTGAATAACTGAAGTATTATTGTACATTTACCTCAAAAGAAGAGTCTGTATTCTCTGGGTGGATGATGTAAATACCACTGGGGATCTTGGGGACGACTGACAAAAGATTGTCCTTGATGTCGCTGCAGTCCCGTCCTAATCAAAGCAAACGCACTCTCCTTTATCGTCAGGAAGAAAATCAACATTCACTAAAGGATGCATACATAAGGAAGGATGTATTTCCATAACACATTTTACATTATTATCTAGGGAAAAACATATAGTTGGCAATTCAATTTCAGATATACTGAAAGATTAAATGCTCCATTATAGGTTGAGAATGTTCTCCTACTTCTTAGAAAGCTCCTCCAGAGTCACTCCTCATGACTATCAAACCAATATTGATGTGTAAAATTTGTATGAATGAATGTTGTGTCATCACAAGTGTTTATGTGTGAGTTACCGTGGGACTGCACCGGTTTGACGGAGTACAGCTCAGTGTTGCTTCTCTGAACCTCAGAGCTGAGCGTCTGCACTTTGGTCATCAGCTCTGTGACTTGAAAATGTGACGCTAGTGTTTATTCAGCCAGCCAATCGCACGCTTACAAACCCCGTTACTAGGACGAGAAAAAAAAGAAGACTTCACTTTACCTGACTGCTGAGGATGTCCAGGGCTCTCTGCTGCTCCTCCATCACATCCCTGATCAGCTTCCGGGTGCTGCGTCCAAACAATAACAGAGACTGCTGTAACTGGCCTACACACACACACACACACACACACACACACGTTTTAAACAACAGATGATGATGGAAGACATAACAATAACACCAGGAAAGAGGTTGTTTTTTTTTTTTACCACAGATTGAATGTTTCTCATCTCGTAGCAGCTTGACAGTGATGTCACATGGGATGGAGCATGTGTCCTGACTTTTGACCCCTCCGGGAAGTTTCTGGCCTTTGACCGGAGCGTCAGAGAGGTCCTCATTGACTGTTTCTGACTGGCTGAAATAACTGCCGTGTCCTGTGTCCTGGCGATCAAGAGAGAACTACAGTGAGGGTTCAATTCACAGTCAAGTGCAACTAAACTGGGATTTCTACTTCATAGAGCAGGACACAAAGTCCTGACCAGCTTCTGTATCTAACCTCTCTGCCTCAGTGGACACATGAAAATATTAACTCTTATCTGGGGATCAACCAAAGTTTCATATTAATGTAAAAAGTAAAAATAATAATACCTGCCAGCCTAATATATTTCAATGCAAAACAACTTGTTTTAACAAGCACAGAACATAACAAACATGCTGCTCACACATTAATACATCAGTGACAATAATCCTATAACATATGTAAACACTGTGGGAGGGGCTATTTGGCATAACAAGTAATGTTACTTTTCTTTGCTGATAATACTTCATTGCTTTTACTTGAGTACAATTTGCAATGCAGGACTTCTAGTGGAGTATTTTAACATTGCGGTATTTATCTGCAATCTTTATTTACACACACAGACACAAACAAACACACAGCAGTGTTTTCATGACTTTTGGGCACATTACATTGACTTACATTAATTTCCTGGAGACTTACCATAACCGTAACCACTACCAGCCGAACACCAATCTTACTCTGACCTTAACCTAAACATATCCGAAAATCAAGTCTTCCCTCTAAAATGTAATGATTTACATAACGTGCAATTCGGGTAAAACACAAACACATCTTAATAATCTATATTTCCACACGCTATTGATGATGATGTTAATGTTAGAAACAAAGAAAAGAAAAGATTCACGATTCATGATCCATCCATGATGCCTAACTCTAAACCCTTGGATCTCCTTGACTGCATCAGCCTTTCTTGAAGCAATTCACACTCATCTGCAAAAAAAATGCTGTGAAACAATAACTCTTGGCACAGGTTTAAATTTGACCAAATCAGACAAGTGGCCTTTTACAGCATGCTCCCTCTATCTTCCCCTTTCCTGTCTCTATCTGACTAAATATTACAGGAAATAAAGCTCAAAAGAAATACCTTTTAAAAAACAATACAATAATTCCTGATACATTGATGACATGCATATCATACATACAGTGGAGGAAAGCAGATGAGGCACAAGCAGCAGAATGACAGTTGTCGTCCACATCATGTCGTCTGACTGTGATTATTTCCTGAATATCACCAGCAGCCACTCCTTCATTGATGCTTTCTTTTTCCACAGAGTCTGCTCTGTTCCCTCACATGTCCACCCGTCTACCGAGTCTTGTCCGTCCTTCCTCTCAGTTGTCAAACTTCTCCCTGCTTCCTCTCTTACCGCCTCACTCTCTCCACCTCCATCAGTACACTCCCACTTTTTCTTGTACATTCCCATGACAACATCCCCTATAAGAGCAGGTCAAATTTGTAAATGGGCTGATCATAAAAGTCTGGAGATGTTTCTGACAAGTCGACAAGTTGAATGTGCTGATTCCGGATTTGTGGTAAGGAGTGATTGCCTTCCCCCTCAGTGTGTCTATTTCCAAGTGTTTTTATTTTTAATGGTTATATCCTGCCACCAGCATGAGAAACAGATGTGGGGAAACGGGCAGCTTGTTTTAATGTAGGAACACTTTCTCTCTGCCTGTGTCTTAGCTTGGGAGCTGAAGGTAGCATGCAGCGAAGGCAGGGTGTCTCTGCCTCTTGTGCTCATGTTTCCTCCCTCTTGTCTTTCTCCCTGACCACTGACTCATCTGAAAACAGCCTCCCAGAGGGGCAGACCAATTATTTCTTCACTGGGCAGTAAAGCAGTGAGGGAAGTGAGAAAGAGAAAGAGAGCAACAGAACATTCCTGTCAGGGTCCAGCTGGAGCCGGCCGGCCTGTCGCGTCCCTGGAAAACTTTGCTGCGAGAGCCAATGAAAAGCTTTGCTGTTGTTCTGAACCTGTGTGAGTTAACAGTCATGGTCAGTGAGAGGAATGTGAAAAGTCTGGTGCCCCAGCCCCGGGGCCCCCACATCTGTCCTATGTTACATGCTCTTGTAAAGTGGTCTATGCATGTGAATGAAACATTATCTTCCAGGCGAGATAATGAGAACATTCAGACAAGACTGTGTGGTGTCTCTTCAGCATATAGCCTTGCCTACTGTCCTTGTAAAGGTATGATACATTAAAAAACTGTTTGATGGTTGAAAGAAATGACATCCTCGGAAATTCACTTATTTACTTTCTTGACTTAACTATTAAGTCAACTTACTCAGCATTCCTTACTGTTTATTACTTATTTACTTATTTATAACACTTGTTTTGATACATTGTTTTTTGCTATGTTTCTTGTTTGCACATTCCACTATGCTGCTGTAATCCTGTAAATGTTCCCACTGTGGGACTAATAAAGGATTATTTTATCTTAATTTAGTTTGGCATAAAGACTAGAAGCAGGGGAAACAGCTGCTGGCTTCATATTTATTAAACAGATATGAGAGTGTACAATGAAAGCAAATAATTATGTTTCCCAAAATGTTTACGAGGCAAAGAGCTAGCCCGTCTCTGTCCGAAAGTAACAAAATCACTAATCAACACATTATATCCGCTTTGTTCAAGCATGTAACTCTCCCAAAAAACCCCAACTTGGGTTTTTGTAAGTGTTAGGAAGCGAGCAGTTAGACACCAGACGCTGGTTTTTGGATATCAAACAGTGGAGTTTTATTTACCAAAAAATACAGAAAAAGCAAAGCAACCGTGGCTAAATTAGGCACTAAAAGAGTTCAACGTAACTGAACTCTGCCGCACAGTAACTCAAAAGAAGAAAAAATGATATTAGTGCAAGTTATAAATCAGAGTTTAAGTGTTAACAGCAGTAAATTAAATCAATTAGAAATGATGCATGCCAAAAAATGATAATAAACCTATACCAAATCTAACTCTGTCGATTGTGTAATTATGGGAAAGTTGCCTGTAACTGAATATAAAACGAAATTAATAAAAAAAAAGGCCAAATTAAAGTGGAAGTGAGTGGAAATTACGTCACCAAGTGTTTGTCTGCTGGTGTGGATGTGGGTGCGACCGTTACAGCATGGATCAACATGTTAATTGGTGAGTTTTAGGGGAGGGCAGAGCCAGTCTAGCTGTTTCCCCGTATGTCTTCCAGTATGATAAACTAACTAATCGTCTGCTGGCTTTAGCTGTGTGCATCAGACAGGCTGTCAATCTTGATTGAAGCGAATTAGTGTGCTTCCCAAAATGGCAAATTAACCCTTTTATAATCAAAAATATACCAACAGCAGTCGCCTAAATACAACATTCGTGAATAGTTTTTCTTCCAAGCACTTTTCAGTTTGTCCTTTATTTGAACAAAAGTGAATTTGTTAAATAATATTAGCTTCATCACTCAGTGTTTTGTTTTCACTTTGACGTTCTTCTCTCCAACACATTCCAGAGTCCCAAGCTCCTAAATTAATACTTGAATGTGAAACTATTTGTTTGTTAAATTAAACCAGGTGTTCTTACTAACTGTTTTGATGGGAATGAGAATAAGCACCTGATAGGTCACCTGTGTGCCACTGGTCTGATTTTGCAGTGAAAGGGCACTGATTAAAAACACAGTTTGGGGATGACTTTGTACAGAAAAAAATAACAGAATAAATCCTGCAGAGGTAAAACTAACAAAACACAGTTACATCAGAAACAGTTACGCAACATCTGTCTCCACTGCATTTTTGTGAATCATTATGAAAGTAATGAAAAACAAAATAAGCTTCACACGTGTTAAAGTAGGACAGTGCCATCTGCTGCGCTATGGTTTGTATTACATTACAATTGTACATACTGTATGTTGATCTTTTCCCCTGTGTTGCCTCTGAATTCTTCACACAGAAACTAATGATAATTTCGGAGAGAATAGTACATATTGTCTTATCAATGATGACTGAACATTACGTATAAAAAAAACACATGTCTTACTGTGTCAGAAGGGGAACTTTGTTGAATCAACACAATATTGAGAGGAAAATATATTTTTGTTTTAACTTCACACAGAATAAACTGCATTAAAAAGTATTGGTGTAGCTGCATTCAACACAAAACACAAAATTGTAAAATGTTAAGCGTGCAGACGATTCAGGTTAGCAAAATTACACGAAACCCCAGAGAGGCATGCAAATCATAACACTTGACAAGTTGATTTACAAATATTAAACCAGTGAAATCTAAAGACATATCAAATAAAGATTTAAAAGTATAATATCTTTTAATTCCTTAACATTTGTTTTTTTCCTTGTATTTCCCTTCAAGCAGCTTGTTAAAATAGTTTCATCCCACACTGTTTGACAGCATTTCAGTTTAGATTAGATTGAATTTGCATATAAGAACAATAACAGGCTGTTTACCAGATGCAAACAGTAGCATCTATAGAGATAAACAGTAAAAAGATAAGTAAATGTAAAGAATGACACAGGGGTATGGATTGTGAGAAGGGATGTTACTGTGATCCCTACAAAAACAAAACAACATACGTGTGTAGTGAGAATGAACATTGTGTGCATATTTACTGTATGCCCATATATTCTGTATCAGTTTACCCCAACCCTGCATTGAAGCATATTAAATATGTAAACCCAATACTGAAAGCTGTTATGGCTGCAACATCCAATCAGATGTAAATAATCTAGATGTGCATCACTTTGTATATATTTTTCCATTTCATGTGTTTTATTACCAATTGTAAAATCTTCCATGTCCGCTTATCTATATTAATTCTGGTGGCTTACGATGACTTAATAATTTATTGAGTTATTGGATGCATAGTGGATAATAACACCAGTCCAGGCAGACATATTTTTTCTTGAATTCAATCTGTTGGCCAGCTGAGCTCCGGCTCACTGCGCATGTTTTCCACTAGAGGGCAGGACACTGTGTGGCTGCGTGACTGCGTTCACAAACAGGCTCTGGCTGAGTTGGCCTCATCAGGGGCGGATGTTTTCTCAGTGTAACTTCCCAATCTCCCCTCCCCAACCCCCCAAAACCAGACCAAAAAAATACTCCAAGCCTCATTTGTCCTCTCAGTGTATCATCTTGGGTTTTCTCTTGCCACCTCTGTCTACACTTGGCTCTCTGCCTCTTTCCTTCAGCGGGAGAAAACCGCACTAACTGGAAACCGTTCAGAGCGAGATTACAGCAAAGACTATTAGTTCTAATATCACTGATTTTTGCGCATGTGCAGGGCTAAAAGTGACATGTTTGACACAGTTGGAGCTGTAAATAAAACAACGATAAACATGTGTTCAAAGCCTTGTGTTGATGGTTTATGTCTGCTCGGAGTCAAATATTTCCCCTGCAACTACTGCGGCAGCTTTAAACCCTGCAACCCCGCCCCTCAGCACTATCACATCAATCTGGACTCAACAGTGGATGTGAAAAAAAGTTTGGAGGTCTGGCTGGAATCACTTTTCTCCAACTAGTTTGTTTTATTTCACTTGAGAGGACTTTTAGGTTAAACGTTTGCATCGGAAATCGGTGTCCGTTCTGAGTGTTTCCCAGGCTGTGATTTCTCCAGTTTATTTTCCCTGCAGGAATACGGAGAGAGAGGGGGGGAAGAGAGACAGGGAGAGAGAGAGAGAGAGAGAGAGAGAGAGGGGGAAACGGTCTGGCTGCTTGAAGGTATGTGGGAGGCATGTAACGTGTTGTACGCTGTTGAGATTGATTTTTGTCAGCGATCACTGCTTTAACTTGCGCTCCTTCGACTTGTTTACCCGACGATCGAGCTTCGTTTCACAGCTGATTAACTTCCGAGATGTAACAGTTTGAAACAGACAAGGACACATAAATTCAAATGGTGTGGGGGGTGGGGGGGGGGGGGGTTAAAAGTGTAAACAAATCCGATCATAACTGCAGCACTCAGGCGCGTCTAGTATTAACGAGTCTGACGTTTATTTTTCTGTTTGTTTGTGTGTTTGAACTTTTCGACAGATTTGTTTCGACACCAAACTTTGGCGACATGGACGCGCACCGCAGCGCGCCTCCGGTCGGGCAGCAGATTGTGCACGTCCGCGGGGACTCGCAGACGGAGCTGGAGGCCCTCTTCAGCGCCGTGATGAACCCCAGCAAGTCGGTCAGACAGCCGTCCTCTCTGCCCATGAGGATGAGGAATCTTCCGGACTCCTTCTTCAGGCAGCCGGATTCTAGAGGCCACTCCAGACAAGTATTAATAACTGCTGCTAACTGCACCGTGCTGGTTTACAGAGCAAACACTCGTGTGTCCAGACCACATAGTACATCAACGACATGGAGTACAGTGGTCCTGCAATACACACTGAGTGACCAGAGTAACAGAAATCCTCTCTAACGCAATCAAACACTACCTGCTTTGTATCGGTAGTGGTGTTGCTAAAAAAAAGTATAAATACAGGATCATTTTTAATTCCTATTTTGTTCACCAGGGACACGATATCAATGAATGAAGTCCTGAAATTGATAATCACTTAAATTGGGGCTCAAAATTACTGTTATTTTCATTATTGCTTAATCTGCAGATTGTTTTCTAAATTGTTTAGTTTTTGGGGGGGTAGTATTTGAAATAGTGGAAAAAATACTGCCCTGTACAAGTTCCCACAGCCAAGGTGAGGTCTGCTTTTAATCGACCAACATTCCAAAACCCAAATATATTTAATTTACTATCATGTATGACAACGACAAGCATCAGATCCACACATCTGAGAAGCTGGAACCAGCACGTTTCTAGTATTAAAAATAAATAAATAAATAAAATAAATGCTTGAAAAACGATTCAACGATAATCATTTCATAAAAATAGGTGCAGTTGTTTTTGGTTCTGGCTTCTTAAATAAGAGGATTTTCTGCTCTCCTCTGCTTTATCGTCCATGTTTTATAAGGAAATTGTGACGGACATTCTTACTGACTTTTCATAGACTAAAACATGATCAAGAGATTAACCGATGATGACAATAATCCATAGTTAAAGCTCTAATCTGTCTGTCCTCAGTGAACATTACACGTTCCACAGCAGCAACATTTCCTGCAGGGCTGCTTCACTGGATAGTTTTGTATTTGCTTTATCACTGCGTGTGAATTTCTACCAATTCCGTATTTTTGTTGAGGCTAAAACACATTGTGGATGTTTGAGTGTGGGTTTATCTTCGACCCCTGTTACTCTATTCTGTTTCAGTTTCTCTGATTTGGGCATATCGTTTTGTTGTTTTTAAGGTTTTCCTCCTTGCCACAGTTAACTCTTCTGTTGTTTTATTGACGGATGCACCAACCGTTCAAGCAGCAAACTATCAAATATGCCCGATATTGCCTCAAATACTCAAATTACTTTAGATAAAATAGTTTAATCAGCTGTTGGCTGGCCATGTCTTAAGGTGTTTCTGATTAAGGGTGCTCCTCAAGAAACCAAGTCTTCAGAGATTATAGTTATGAATTGGCATATAAATGGGTCTCACTAGATGTGTTTAAGCGTCATTGAGACACATTTTCTCGCACTTTTCATGGATGTTCCCATGCAGGTCACATGTTGGGCTGGTCCTCTCTAGACTAGAAAGCAATAACAGTCTATTTAAGTTTTACCTGTACTCCCAACTGCCCGTTACAAACAAAGCTGCCTTTCCGACCACTTTATATATCACGTTAAATGGTTTATTTGTTTAATGATCAGCCAACAGCCCTTGAGTCTTGCTCTTTGATTTGTAGATGGGGCTCAAATATCGTAAATATCTGAAATTTTATGAAGTCAATTATCACAAAACCAACAGTCTAAACAGTGAAAACTTCTTGGTGGAAGAAATAACATATTCTAAAGTAAAGAAGACAATTTCCCAGTTCTTCCTTGAAGCGTTTGTTTTTGCAGCTTGGCTCTCTCTGTTTACCATTCAAACCTTTTCTTCTTGCTGGTTTCAGTTTTCTGATTACTGCTTGTGGCTCGTCATGGAAGTTGTTAACCCTGATTCTTTCTCGTCAGGCCAGTTCGGATGGAGGTGTGTGTGGCTCCCTCACGCCTCATCATGTCCGCGCCCATTCCTCCCCTGCCTCCCTTCCAGTCAACTCACTCTCCACTCAAGCAGCAGATGTAGCGGCGGCACCAATCATACCTGACGACGTGCCACTCCCCCACGGTTGGGAAATGGCCAAAACGCCTACTGGCCAACGATACTTCCTTAAGTAAGGCCTAACCTCTGTTTATCATTGTGTTTGATCTGTCGCACTGCAGGTTACTTGAACGGTTTCTATTCAGAATGACCCATCTACATTTCTACACCTGCTCTCAACCTGTGCATGGCTGTAACTAATGATCATTCTTAGTATAAATGGTCAGAAAGTTGTGTAACTACCCTTTCACAATTACCCAAAGCTGAAGGCGTCTTCAAATTGCTTATTAATTGTCCAGAATTACATTTGTTCAATTGGTAATCAATTGTCAAAAGCTGTAAATCTTCACGGTTGAGAAGCTGAGAGAAGCAAGTTTCTGCATTTTTGCTTGATAAATGATCACAATGTTATCTAGATCATCAAACAGATTGAATCAACCAATCATTCCTTCAATAAATCTATTTTAAATGCACCAGGAGAAGTTTCTTTAGATCTTTTATTTTTTTACTGGCATTCAGTCCTATTACAGAAAATATCCTCCTTGAATATTTTGCTGCAGAAAGAATAAAATTATAAGTAAAGTTAAACTGCAGCAGTGCAGTTATAACCAGGACTCAAACTAATCAGTTGCATGCAAACAGAAAATGTTCCAACTAGTTTTGTAATCCGTGTGGTTTCAGCCACTTTCATTCATGAGAGCACGTAGCATGACAGCTCACACACCTGTCAAAGGCTACTGGTAGTACAGGTAAAGCAGGTCCGATGTTAAAACTGTGCCTCACGGTTCTTATCCATCATGCTGCAGGTGTTTAACAGATGCAGATACGTTGAGACTTGTTGTGTGTTTGCAGTCACCTGGATAAGACAACTACTTGGCACGACCCTCGACTTTCGCAGCTTCAGTCGGCTGCAGTTCAGCATCCCATCTCTGGCACTCCGGTCCACGCCCACTCCCTCAGCAACCCAGCACCCACTACGCAACCACAAAACATCAACCCAGAGACAGGTATCACTCTGCTTTTTCCTGCCCCCCCCCCCCCCTCAGCACAGACCCGCTTTTCATGTAGTTCAACTCCATCAACAGTGGGCCAGGTCTTTGCTGGGTGAGATTTCTTCGGGATTTCTCTTTTGGTTTCTACATCTAGGTCTCTGGTGACTTTGGTGGGAATTATCAAATACATTCTGTAGATTAAAGCCTTAAAGACCCTGATGATGGAAACTGCTGTAAAATGAGAGATGAGACTCTATTCATACAGGTTTTTCCATGTTTTTCTTATTTAGATGCAGGTTTCATACCTTGTTGGACTATTGTTATCTTTTAATGAACTCTATTAGTGTAACATTTTTAAAGGGCCGGTTTACCCAAATTACAAAAAACATTTTCTTAATTTATCTAGCATTTTTTGCTTTTATAAAACAGAAACAATAGACAGCTGAAAAACAATGTGAGAAGACAGACATGATATAATCACATGGTCAGCGTCTTTAATGATGGTTCACTGTCTTAAAACAATAATCAGATGCCAACATGAACATCGAAACAGGGTTTTTTAAATGTAATGATTCCTCCTGTTCATACTTGATATTAGTAGATCCCTTACTAATGTGCTTCCAATATAAGTGATGAGTGATAAAATCCGTAGTCATTGTTTTGTGCAAATACGTATTCAAAACCTTATCTGAAGCTAAGATCGGGCGTCAGCTGTCCAAATTAGCCCAAACAAGTGGATATCTTTCAATGTTAGTCGTTTTAGGGCAAAATTCCCTCTTTTTGTTACTGTCCCTCTCCTGCAGCCCAACAAGGAAACACTGTCTGAGAAAACTTTTAAATTCATGTTCGCACAGAACGAGGACTGTGGATTTTGTCATTTACACCGGAGGCATGTCAGGAAGAGAGCTTATTGGGTCCAGAATGAGCAGGAAGACTAATTCCAGCAAGCAAAAACTGTTACAATATTCACACTGGTACCTGATTATTGTTTTAGGACTGACTTTAAAAATTGTGAACCTATCCTTTAAACCCCTGGGCCACCGGAGCGCCTCTGTTTTCAGCCACAGCACGTCGTAAATCAATCAATGTCAAAATATCAATGAAAGCAAGTTTGAATAAAAAAAAAAGAAACAATGTCTCGGCCACTCTAGAAAATCCACAGACCCCACTGTGAACAGTTTTCATTTGAACTACTTCCTAATGAAGAAGTAATCCACAGCAAACATTCCATAATGTGTGTAATTAATTATAAATAAAAATATTCAGTGGATTATCCAGAATAATGGGGATAGTGGTTCCGTAAAGAGGTGTTGCTGTTGAATATTTGTATTTTGATTTGGCTGAATGGACCCTTTTAAGACTCTCCCTCTTTTTTCCCACAAAGAGCAGTATTGCATACTTCATACTGATTTACTTTAGTGTTTTTACAAACTCCCACTGCATTCAGGCAAGATAGAATAGTACATTCTTACTTTTTTTCTTTTCTCTACATGACATACTATACTGTCGCTATTTACCCTCTAACCTTCACTTCTATTTATAAAACCTCTATAAACTAGAAGCTACGCAGACATTGAAGGGCGTGGGCCAGATTTTTATTTTTCTACTCTCAACACTCAACATGCTCTCCATCCACCATTTGCCTTCTCACTGTGTACTTTCACTGCTGTTCAGGTCCACTGCCTGAAGGCTGGGAGAAGGCTGTGACTGCAGATGGAGAGGTGTTCTACATCGATCACATAAATAAGACTACCGCATGGGTCGACCCGCGTCTAGGTAGCACTACTATCAAATTTGTGTCTCCTGAAATTGACAATTCTAGTTTGTCAGTGAGAAGCTTTTTGTTCCAATGTCCACCATCACAAGTTGCTGTTTGGCAACGAAAATAAGAAAAATCGCAAAGTTTTGACATGCTCTATTGGTATATTGGTCATTGATGAAATGTTTCAACTCGTGGAAATATTTACTTAATTGTCAAAATGTTCTTTTCCTGTGAATTTCATGTTCCAGCCCAGAAGATGAACCCTGGCATCCTCGGCTTGGCACTGCAGCAAAGGCAGGAAAAGGAAAGGCTCAGATGCAAACAAGGCCTCCCTCCACAAATCACACAGGTCAGAGGTTAAATAAAACTGTACTTGGACGTGCCGACAAAAAAACTCGCATTTCATTTTAAATCACTCAACACAAGCTGTCTTACATTTAAGTTATTTCTTGTAATATCATGTGATATCTGGTTGTATTAGGCTGCATATTTAGCTCAGATTAAACCATTGTTTCATGTGAACCGAGCTGGAGTTTTAAACGACATTATACATGTATGTCTGTATGTGTGTCTGTCTTGTAGGAGGCAGGAGGAAGGAACCAGATGCCTGGTGGGATGGACCATGACAGGAACGCACAGACGCTTGTTCCTTCTCTGGATGTGAGGATCAGAGCCTCCAACCACGAACCCACACTTAATGGGTGAGTTCATGTTTAATATTGTTTTCACGCACTGTAGATCTCTTTTATTGTAATAATAATTGTCACAGAGCTGTTGTCATGAGGAGACTAAATTTGAAAAAGTATTCATGACCTGTGCTTAAAGTAAAAGCAGTAACTAGTATAGAAATACCATTAATAAGCTACTTTTCCTGAGTAAATTAATCTAACAAATGGTCACTTCCAGAATGTTACCAGAATGATCTATTAATCTCGCTGCAAGGAGTTTTTACATGTTGGATTTATTATGTTATGACTCATTCCAGTTTTGTAACGGATGACAATCGGATATAAAGGAATGTTTATGTGTGTGTTTTTGTGCAGCGCTCACTCTCGCAACGAGAGCACTGACAGCGGTCTGAGCGTCAGCAGCTTACCCCGCTCATCGGACCACATGTTGAGCTCTGTGGATCACATGGACACTGGTAACACACAGAGACACACACACACACACACCAAAGTCAGAAAGATGGTACCGCGGTTCCCACAGTGGCAAAGTGGAAAATTTATAAACATGTTTATTTTAACCTAAGCCAAGGTAATGATGAACACAGTGTACAGATATGACATCTGTTGATCTAAATATACATTGCAACCAATGGGAAGCAGTTTATTTTGGGATCATAGAGTAAATGTGTCACAAATGTAGCCAGTGATAATGCCTTATTTAGCTGTTATACTTTAATTTATGTATCTTAGAACTAAGAACTATGGCCTTCTTTAGACATTGGTTGTAATAACAAAAAAAAGAGCTATGGTAGTAACCTTTCTAAAGACGATACAGAGTAATATGAGATCATTTATTTTTGAATCAACAAAAACTGCGTACCCCAGTGAGTAATACAAAGAAAAATAGAGAGGAGCTGTTGAATGTAGAGAAGCGTCAACAGTTAATATGCTAATTACATGCACAAATACACACATTTAATGGCATAAAGAACACAAAAAAAGGCTTTGACTACCAGCTACTTTGAATTGCAACACTTTCGAGCTTTGCTCTCTTCTACAAGTATCCTCCAAATGATGCCGTGATGATGCTTATTTATGCATTTCCTTTTTATTTATTTGTATTTCTGCACACATTTGGCATATTACATTATTGTGCATTCAGAGGCTCCCCTGCTTATTTCCTTGTTTTGATTTTTTTTTTTTTGTATATAAAACAGAAACGGAAGATGGAAAGTATGAATTGTGCATTTTATTTGTGTACATACACACTTCCTGCGAGAAACAAACTAAACTGGTCCAGGTGCAGCTGTATTAAAGATTCCAAATTCTCAAATTCCTCCCAGCTCACTGATGATTAACACAGTTCTTCTTCTCTGACTTCTTCCAGGTGACTCCGGCGAGACCTCCTCGATGACCGTACAGGAGTCCATGTCTGTGCTCCCGATGTCTGAGGGTGAGGAGCTAATGCCTTGCATCCCCGAGGGTCTCAGTTCAGACCTTCTGATGGACATGGAGACCGTTCTCTCCGGGTCGCACATGGACAGAGACAGCCTGCTCACCTGGCTATAGACACACTCAGCCACAGCCCCAAATATGGTTTGACATCAAATCTTCATGACAAGACTGAGAATTCTGGAGAATCATTGGCTTTAATAGTGGTACAGAACAACGTTACTGAGAGAATATGCTACTGCTGAATGATGGATCCCCAACACTACTCGCACCCTGAGGAATGAGAAAACCTGACTCTCGCAGAAGGTGGTAAGCTGCTGGCGTTCTAATCCTTTTGGGCTCAGTTTTACACAGATGCATGACAGAGCATCCATATTATCACAACACTCCTTTCTTTTTCGTCATTGAACTCAGATGATGCTCCTCATGTCTCTGGTAAAGAGTACAGATTTACTTTACTATCCCGACTTGGGTAATGGCGTTTGCAGCAATCTTTTAAAAACACATTGTCAGGTTAATGAAGTCTGGATGTAGCAGTTAAATGAATGTTCAAACAACATAGAAGTCGTTTAAAAGATATCATATCCACATTGGCCTCTGTTGTCTCATACAGCTTGTGGCCTAAAAGAACAACATCTAGTGCGACTACTTCTAAGCAGCCTGTAATTTGGGACTTTAATGCTTGTAGTTGTCCAAAACATATCGTCTTAAGAAGCATCAGGACTAAGAGCAAAAGATGAATTGAAGAAATTGTCTGCATTAGCACTACATTGGTTGCATAAAACCCCAAAACTCTGCTCAAAATAACCAAAGCTAACCACAGCTACGTACCACTGCTACACAGAAACATCAGGGGTAGAGGACGCACCCTGGTGGAGAGCCAGTATAAGATTAAGAACACTAAGAGTTTTCAGTCGAAATGCTCAGAAGCCAAAAAACAGTATTAAAACCCTCATCAGAGTCACTTATAAGTCTGTGTGGAATATCTTTGAAGTTTTTCATATTTAAGTTAAGGAGGTTAAGCTTTGTCTTTGGTCACAGTGGAGACTTCTTTCCTAACAAATGAAAGCCTGTCAAAGCCCTTCACATTCAGAGAAAAAACTTTGGGTACTAAAACTAAGATAAAATGTGTATTTAAGAACCTTTTTACAGAAAGGAAGGTAAAGAGGATGTCTACAGTGAAACACTTTCAGTCTAATGCAATCCAGCACAATACAGGGTTTTCCCCAGGAAACTCTAATCATGTCACATCCTGATCTATTTAGTGAATGGACAACTATAGCCACACTTTTTCTATTGAGTTTTATTTCATAGAAGTGTGTTAATTACACTACATTAGCCCAACTCCACGTTAAACACTACAGAAAACCCTGCAACAGCCTTGCTATGAAATGGCTCTTTTTGAGGTTACTAATACCCAGGTTTTGTTAATAGTGACTTAGTTTTTGTTATTGGATTGGATTGCATTTTATTGTTAAGTGTTCCAGTCATTTTTTCCCCTCCAGCATTGAATATAAGCTTCACAAAGGTAGTATTTATTGGAGATTTGTTTTATTGGATTGCATGATATTGTACAGTTGTGATGTTATTATTATGTCTGCCCATTGTTTAAGAAGTTATGCCACAGAGTTGCCATCATGGCCTGGACGTTATCTCTCCCTAGAGTGCAGCAGAGAGTTTAGCTCTCAGCAGCTTCTAAACTGGCCCTGGACCATAAACGAAAAATATTCAATTTATTCTTTTTCCCAGTATTGGCTAAATACATTCCAAATCATTTTCTTTTCTTCACATCTTAAACATATATTCATTCAGTGGCATCATAGGTTTGTTTTTCTCACAGAAAGTCATTCGACCAGTAACCGTCTCAGTCGAGTTTTTATTCATTTTAGCTCCTTAACTACAAATCATCTTCCCATTTATTTCCAAAATGTTCTTCCTTTCTTAAAAAACACAATTTATCATCACTCTTAGTTGCAAGAGAAATGTAAATGTCCATAAATACACTACAACATTACTCTATTCAGAATATTGTACAGCGAATACAATCTTTTATTTTCACCCATTAATGGGTAAAAAAGTGAATATCACAAAAACAACTCAAATCCCGTCAATCTCTTCATAATTATGTACAACACTAACTAATTTAAAGGTCATCTGGTAATTAATTGCCCAACAGATTTTCTCTATTTAATGGGCACATATAAATTAGATGCCTGGAACAATAGAAGAAACACATTAAAGTTTCTAAAGCAGATCAACATGGATTGCAAAACACTTAGCAGTGATATAAATATGCATGATTTGTTGTAAATGCACTAAAACATGCAAAATCACTGGTAGAATACTTTTTAAATAATCCTGTCGGTGCCATGAAGGTATTAGTCTGCTACCACTCTATAGAGTTATAATATCCTCCGTCTGTGGCTCAAGTTGTCCTCTCTTAAAGAGCTGTTTTGTAAGTGGGAACGAAGAAAATATTGTGGATTTCATTGGGAGAGTCAGAGGATAAGTCAAAGAACCCTGTCTTACCTCTTCACAAAACCTTCGCAACCTACTATTTGTGGATGCTGTGTTCTTGGCATATGGGGAGCTCTTTAATTCTCCTGTGTTAGTTACACTATATAATACGTATATAATCTGTTTTTATCTGCTGGGTTGTTTCTGCAGTGTGTTCATATTTTATCTAAATTTGAAGCTGTTCATTATTGGTGAGAGCCTGTCTTCTAACCAGCTTCCTTTTTATATATATATACATAATTTAGAGGTAAAGACTTTATTCACAACACCCCCAAATAAAGTGCCAAGTCACCTGATCTTTTCTAAATTAAAGTACCATGGGCCATGGGAGCAACTTACTGTTCATACACACAATGCAACACACTACCTAGCCTTTTATTTATCTTAGCATGCATGACACTTGCTATGTATGTTACATTATAATGATGTTTATTATCCTATTTACAGAGTTTGGAGGCAATCAGACTTGTTTTTATTTTTTACCATTGTATGCATGTGCTTTATATAAATATATTTCTTCTTACTCTCACTGTAATCATTTTAAAGGAGTTTCTGTTTAATAAAAATTCAAATACACCTGGCAAATAGTAGTTTCTAGTGTGTATTGTCTGCTGTGTGGTAGTAAAACTACACTTTGATGACTACACAATTTGTTCATTTAGCTCCATTGACGTCAGATGGGTATGGCAGGAAGTGGCAGCTACTGCAGATTAGTGTTGTCTTATTTAAACACTGTCTTCCTTGAAGTACAGGTACTAATTAAATGGACAGGGTATTGTGATAGCTTTCTGGTATTGGTAGGTTAAGACAATTCATACAAGCCATTTTTGAAAGTAGATCATGTGGTATGCAAAGGTCAGTGCACTGTGAGGTTGTCAGTCACTTAAGGGGAGTGGCTATGACAGGAAGTTAGGGGAACTACAGTGGAGATATCACATTCTAATAATGCCTTTACGTGACTCATTACCGTCTGACTTGTCTTCAACAAGGCCTTTATGTAAGTATGCTGTCTATTCCTTGTACCATTATTTTAGCTTTAATATTCTTTGATAACTTAAGTGAAAGACAGAATAGTATTGTTGTTTCTGTAGTGTTAGCTTTGTGTGTAACATATACAAATATCTCTTTACATTTTTTTGTTGTAGTTTTTTTATTTAATTGAACATGTGTCCTCCAGTACATAGTAGGTATAAAACATGTCCAGTGGTGGAAAGTATCTAAGTACATTTACTCATTTTTGAGGTACTTTAGCTACATTTACTTAAGTAAAAGATGAGTACTTCTTCCACCACTACAAATTTAGGTATGTTGTATTAATATTTGTAGGGAAATTATGATGTTCACATATGTCTATATTCACACAGGCCTGAGATACATTTCTGTATACAATTGGAGTTTTAAAAGCTTTTTGCAGGTTGCTCGAATTGTTTATTGTGATTTTACACAACTGTAGGTGTTCTTTAATTTCTAATTAATATAAAACTAGATGAACAAGTGCATAACTTGATGATAATTTGATGATCGCGTAAGATAAATGTTTATGTATATGAAGATCATTACACAGACGTTGCTCAATAAATCCACACTCATCTTTACGAAATATATGGGCATGTCTAAAATAACGTGAGCAATTGTGACTTAATGAACAGTTTCAATGTTGGTCTCAGTTTTCTATAGTAAGCTATTTCATGTTATTCATTGATAACGTAGCTTCCTTAGTGTGTGGAATAATTGCTGTAGATGTAACGATATAATCATTACTGTCATGCTGTTTCTGTTTTATGTATGTAACGTTATGTAATTCATCTGAACTTATGGACTGTTTTGGGTTTGCCCCCATGGCACGCTGACAGAATCCGGTCGGGCTCTGAATAATTAACCAAATATTAGTTTTTTGTTCTATTTTCATTTCACCGATAACCGGAAGTAGAGGGAGGCGTGACGTCTTTAACGAGACGCTCGCTCGACGCTGGGACCTTCCGGACCGCCTGAACAACGAAACGGTGAGTGTGTCATACGACTAGGATAAGACCTGCGCGGCCTTATCTAACGTCTCCAGTGTCGGTGTCACTCAATCCAAACGGTTTCATTTTAATGAGTATCGGCAGCTAAAGTTCAACAGTTATTCGCGTTAGCAAACGCTAGCTGTAGCAAGCTAATGTCCGTTGATGTCATCAATCTGGTTTATGTTGGGCGTTGAATGTCATTCGGCAACTGACTGCTAATTGTATGTTTTAAATGAAGCTTAACCGCCGAAACAAATGTTAAATCAATCCAATGCCCTCCTAAATGTTCGTAGCTAAGTTAATGTTAGCTAAAGACATTTAACCAGAAACAGGAAATGTTGTCAATAACCTCACCTAGTTAGTATACTGAGGAAAGTACCGAGCAAAGCCTGCTGGGAAAAATACGCAGCAGCGTTAAATTAGAAGTCTGAGGGAAACCCTGACCACGTCATCTTGATTTGGGCTTTTGGAGACTAGACATTTATAACAGAAAGTCTGCCTTAAAAACTAGTGGCATGACGTTTCAAATACTTCACCATTTACCTAACACAGGGAAGCAATTTTGGTTGCATTATCGGAAATGTAGGATGTAGTGATAAGGATATTATTGTCTTAAGAATCTGTCTCATGTGACTTCCTCAGCTTTATGAAAGTCAAAGGAGTATTCCTCTAAGTTTAATGTATGACAATTCATTAAAGTTATTTGTAAAGAAAAATTGTCAAACAGTTTGTGTTTTTAGTTTCTCTAGATAAGTATTGCTTGCGTATCAAGCTTTTGAACAGTTGCTCGGACTAAACAACCTTGTTAAGTAATTGTTGAAGACCTACCTGCTTTGATCATAGCACTGCTAATTGTGAAGATGAACCTCGTTTTATGTCTATAAGTTTGTAAAAAATATACAGACTATGGCTTCAAGTGATTAAAACACAATCCAACGTTTCTCTCTTCTTTATTTCTACAGGTCCTGCAATTACTGAACTAAAGAGGAACATCCATAATCCTTACCAAAGAAGGATTACATTTTTCTTATTGTTTTTTTAAGGATTCGATTATGGCTACTTAGACGCCTACAAAGGGGATGTCCAAGACGGGGGGAGGGGTTTGAGAGCACATATCCCTTGGTCTGTATGTGTGTGTGTGTGTGTGTGTGTGTGTGTGTGTGTGTGCGCGCTTGATTTATTTAGTTTATAATGTTTGTACAAATAATCACAAACAACATGTTAAAGTTTGAATGGCTGCATAATATATTAGACATGTCTGATCTGAATATTCAATCTAATACAGTGTATACTGATCCTGGGTGATGTGATCGCAGTGTAATATTCTGATAATTGATTTGAGGATGCATTTTAACTATGCTTTTTAAAATAGCCCGTCCTTTTTGTACTGCACAGGCTGTGTTTGGTTGGACGTACTGTACATCCACTGGGACTCTAACTGAAGAAGAAATATTGAGGTTTCAGCAGTTAAATGCTCAGAGGTGGTACTCTCTACTAGGTACATGTAAAATAGATCCAGGTGTGAAGTAGAGCCTCAGGCTACATGTAGGGGTTTGGATGTTTCAGGAGAATTAATGTCAAACATATCCAGGGACATGTCATGCAGTTTGTATCCAATACTGTGTGAGGATGGTGGTCGCTGGACGGGTAGTTTTGTTTCTTCTGCACTAAGTTTTGCACTTAGCCAAGCTTCACTTTCTTTTTTACCATCTCTTCTCTGGTTCGGTAGTTTGAGTTTAGCACCTCCTCCTACTCTCCTCCCCCCGGAGTCTATTTAACTATTTTCTGTTGCAGTATGAGTCAGTGTGTATGTGTGAGAATCTGAGACCTTGGGTTTTCTCAAACCCCTCTCCCTTGGAAGGACATCTCTTTTGCCCTAATATTTCTTAAACTTAAATTTAAAAAAAATGGAAACTCTTGTTCAACTCAAAACCAACCCGTTTTTGTTGGGTTTGTGTCGCAACGGGCCTCCTCCTGACCTGCAGTATGACAACTCCTCCGGTACTAGTTTCTTTTATTCTTTCCCTTTTTCATTTTTATGTATGTGCTGAAGGAAATGTGTCAATATGATGTTTTCTTCCACAGAGCTCTTCCGCATTTCCACCTTTGCTCGATTCCCCGCTTCGGGAGTCACGGAGCGCAGTTTGGCGAGGGCGGGTTGGTTCTACACCGGCGTGGGCGACCGGGTGCAGTGTTTCCGGTGCAACGTGACGGCGGAGGGCTGGCAGGCCGGAGACTGTCCCACAGAGAAACACAGACAGCTCTCTTCTTCCTGCTCCTTCATCCAGAGCCTCCCATCCACAGCCAATCTGCTCTCCTCCTCGCACTCCGCCTTCTCCCCTCTCCGCATTGCCCCAGCCATACCAGTAAGATCTCTGGAAGTTCCTTAAAAATAAGAGATATGCTTTATAGAAGAAAGTTGCCCCTATGTTGTGGAATAGTTTTGTTTTTGAGGAATCTGAACAGTAGTTTAGATTTCATCCACTGGCGCGGTCTGATATTTTTTTGACGACAGCAGTTGCCTTTTTGCCTTCAATTTTTTGCGTCTTTCTTCTTCAAGCTTTCTGGTCCAGGCCCAGCAGCTCCTAACCCGACCGCAAGCCAAGGTGAAGAGCCCGTCGGCTACCTAAATATGGGCTTCTCTGCTCCACTGCCCTCCAGCCCACTCGCCTCTCGCGGCGTGGAGGACATGTCCCACCAGAGACCGATATGCCACAACCCCAGCATGCGCAGAGAGCAGGACCGCCTGGACACATTCCACCCCTGGACGCTCTCCATCATAACTCCAGCCGAGCTCGCCAAGGCCGGCTTTTACTACCTGGTCCAGGGCGACCGAGTGGCCTGCTTCAGCTGTGGTGGACAGGTACAATCACAGGAGCATGAACCCAGCTGTGGAAGCAAATGGCTGAAGAGATTTTATTATATCTTCCTTTCAATCTTTAAAATGACAAAATTGTGTTTTTGTTGCATTTGCAGTTGAGTAACTGGGAGCCAGGTGACCGAGCTGTATCGGAGCACCAGAGGCATTATCCAAACTGCCGATTTGCGCGCGGCGACAGAGCCGACAACGTGCCGCTGGCTGGAGCTGCGGCGGCGTCTGGAGGAGTAACTTCTCAACTGTCCTCAGGAGCCGCGGCCCTCAGTAACGTGTCGAACCCGGCCATGCAGCAGAGCGACGAGAGGCTGCTCACTTTTGTCAACTGGCCTTCTCGTATCCCCGTCAGGCCCGACCAGCTGACTAAAGCCGGCTTCTACTATGTCGGTACGGAGAATATCAAAGAGACGAGCTTATCAGACCGTACGTTGATGAGAAGCATGTAGCGGCTAGCAGAAGGGGGAATGTTGGACTTGTGTTAATCAGGTGGCCAAACCTCTAAATGAAAGCTAAAGTTTTTATTTTACTAATCTTAAAGCTGTCATTTAAAATGTCTTAATGACTGATAACGTGCAGATGAAAGGTTGGCATGAAATAATTTCTTCCCCTTCATTGTCACAGTTTTAATACCAGTAAGAGTTTTTCCCCCCATGTTTGGGGGGTTTCCACTGCAGATAGGTATCTATCAGAATTTGTATTTGTAAGTTTTTACTTGAGCTGGAAAGTCCTGAATGAAATCATTTTAGGGACAACTGGTTATAAACATGTTAGTACTAAATATAGCATTCAAATTTGATCAGTTTACTACAAAATGTTTTAAACCAAAGAGGAAGTAAAAGTTGAGAAACAAAGCTGTATTCAGATTGGTTTCAACCAGTCATCTTCATAAGAACAACCAAGTTTTACTCTTTCTACGAAACCCCCTGAACACCGTTCGTCACACTGAAAGCTCTTTGTTTGCCCACAAGGCCGCAACGACGACGTCAAGTGTTTCTGCTGCGATGGAGGCCTACGGTGCTGGGAGTCGGGAGATGATCCATGGGTGGAACATGCTAAATGGTTCCCTAGGTAAACACTGCCGTTTAAATGTTTTTATGTTTAACTCTGTTTTGACATATATTCTGATCGTGTTTTTTTACGTGTGTATTAGATGGTTTTATATGGTTGTGTTCTTGTACCTCTGGTTAATCGCAGGTGTGAATATTTGCTCCAGGAGAAGGGACAAGAGTTTGTTCACCAGATTCAGGCTCGCTTCCCTCGGCTGTTTGAGCAGGTCAGCAGAGAGCAGCATAACAAGTTATTGGTTCATGCATTTGGCACGGAAAATAATAATGAATGCTTTTTTTCTTCTGTTTTCTCCCCAAAAGCTTTTACCAAATGGAGACAGCAGCTCCAGAGAGTTTGTGGATCCACCTGGTGAGAAATGTATTTTTGGAAAGTGGATCTCTGGACTCTGTACAGTCAGACATTTCTCCTGATAGGATAAAAAAAAGTTGGGAAGTCATGTGACCCGGCCTGACGTGTTAACACCCTCCTCCTCTTAGTGGTTCACCTCGGGCCAGGAGAGGAGCGATCCGAGGACGCCGTCATGATGAACACCCCCGTGATTAAGTCTGCTTTAGAAATGGGCTTCGAGCGCAATCTCGTCAAGCAAACGGTCCAAAGCAAGATCCTGACCAGCGGAGAGAACTACAGAACAGTCCAGGAACTGGTCCTGGACCTGCTGAGTGCCGAGGACCAGAAAAGGGAGGAGGAGCGAGAGATGGTGGCAGAGGCGATGGCATCAGGTACAACTGACGGTGAAAGTATGGATGTCTCTGCGATGTGTTGTCCATGAAAATGAACAACCAAGAATTCCAGTGTTGGTTGTGCCATCGGTTGCTCTCTGGCCAGTGAGCTTTTGAATTAATGACTTTGTTTTCTCCTTTTTGTTTCAGATGGTTTCACCTTTGTGAAGAGACACCAGGCGGCGTTGATCCAGCGCCTGAAGAGTGTGGAGCCAGTGCTGGAGCATTTAAGAGAGCAAAATGTTTTATGTAAGCTTCTGTATTTTAATCTTGATATTCAAATAAGTGTTGCCACATCTTTTAAATGGTTTGTAACCCCACTAGTAGAAAGGACAGTTAATTAGTGACTTTTGTGCATGGTTTAGTTTTTCCACAGCTATGAGATTGAATTATTTCTGATCATAACTAAACATTTCAAGTGCATAAATAAAGAGTTCATAAAGCTCTCATTGTGAGTAACGGTCCCCTGTGAACCTGCAGCTACCGAGGAGTACAGCGGTCTGAAGGCCCAGACGTCGGCCCAGCAGCAGACCGCCAGGCTCATAGAGCTCGTCCTCACCAAGGGGAACGCTGCAGCAGAGGTCTTTCGCAACTGGATCCAGAAAAACGACGTCCACCTGCTCCGAGATCTCATGGGTGCGTCTTTCCCACCGCAACACTTTTACTGTGTACTCGTAACAGAGAGAAAGTACAGTATGTGCTCAAACTGCACTCAAAAACATTTGGTATACTTGCTAAGAAGTTTAATTTAGCAAAGCTCAGGCAGGCTCTGTGGAACTACCAGCACTTCAAATTATAAAAAAGTCTGAAAACTTAAGAAGTGCAAAGTTCACATTTATTTGACAATATAAATTACTAGTTAGGCTACTTTGCAGATTCAGATTTTTAATACAAAATATAAAACAACTAATAAACTATAATGTATTATTAAGTAGTATATACTCCGTCTTTACCAGCTGTAACATTAAAGTGATGAACACATTGATGCCTTAATAATTATAATCCAATGATGCAGACCTACCATGAATATATTATTTTAAATGGTCCATTCTGCATATTGAATAAACTTATGGTAATTTGTATGCTAATACTTTTGTATTAAGTATTTATACGCTGTGCTCTAGTAGATGATGTCACTTGGGTTGTCGACATCTCTCTGCGTCTCTGTGGCGTCTCTGCGCACAGAGACGGAGAAGAATTTGGCGGGCTGCCACAGTCTAGCTAATAAATGAGGAACACTGACTGCGTTAAACAAAGCTTGAGCTAACCACATATTGTCTTTCACATTTTCAGCACAATCAAACGAAGCTGCGTCACCAAGCCAAGATCTTTCAGGTATTAAGACAGAACTTACCATCATGCCAGTTTTAATTGTTTTAACTGTGAAGCATTTTGTAATTTCTATTTTCAATTTTGACTTTTACTGTAGAGATAGTCCATTCCTTCTTGTCTTGTATACTGTCTAACATGTTGGATTTTAAGGACTAATGAATCTATTTCCTTGTAGACCTCCCCATGGAGGAGCAGCTGCGACGCCTGCAGGAGGAGCGTACCTGCAAGGTGTGTATGGACAAAGAAGTCAACATTGTCTTCATCCCATGTGGACATCTGGTGGTGTGCAAAGAGTGCGCGCCATCGCTGCGAAAGTGCCCAATCTGCAGAGGCCTGGTTAAAGGCACGGTCCGAACCTTCCTCTCATAGCCAGGATCCTGCAGGCCACAACGATGTGATTGAATGTACGCAATATGATGTAGGTTTATATACAGCTGACAGACATAACATGGTACCATAGTGACATAAAAATTACATTTATATTATTACTGCTATTATTATTCTATTATATCCATTGATGTTAGTAGTAGTAGTCATATTTCTGCTATTGTCATTCCATTATATTCACTTATACTATTATTACTTTTATTAGTTCTCTTTTCTGGTTGTCTGTTTCTCTCTCTTTCTTAGGGATATTCATAATTAACCATTTAACCCTTAACTGACAATGATACTTTCGACCAATCAAGACACACAGATGACAAGCTAAACTAATTGATGCAATGGAGACTATGACAATGCACGCAATGTGACCGCTAACTCTACTGGACGAGCGATCCGGGGATAGACGCTGCAGCTGTCAATGAGGGGTTTTACCTGTTTGTGCATCGTTATCTTTACAGCTTGTCGCTCTCTAACCAGAGCTCCGCTGCATGCAGAGTACTAATCTTGGAAATTAACGGTTAATGATTTGTCTGCTATAGGTCAGAAAAAAAACAAAGTTAGCATCCCCTGTCTCTCTCTCACTTTCAACCCAATCGGGTGATGAAGATGGATAACTTGTTATGATTTATCTGATAGAGATGTAAGAATACAGTTGATTTGAATGTTCAGTACAAGTCTCATTTTAATATCTGATTTGATAATGGAACATTATTTAATCTTTATTATATAAAATTGTATTTTTACAACTGGGTAATGTATTAAAAACCAGTATCATATTGTTAATGGGTATATTTTCATGTTTTCAGTAAATCTCACAATATGGAAAATGTATGAAAAATCTCATCAATGTTCAATGCAATGAACTGTGTTCTTTAATTCATTACATAAGACACATGCATTTATACATGCACTTATTTTCTCAACACATGAATTTATTATTTCAAATGGCACAAGAGTGTATTATACAAACCAGCCCTGACTGAATCAGGATTATCTAAACTAAACTTTATGAACTTTGCAAACTTTAATATATTATATATAATTGTAAAGCATATTCTCACTTTCTGTATGAAAATCCAACGATCAAATTAAAGTGGCTTTTGTTAATTACTTCATACCCTATTGTATTGATAGTCTGTTTTCCTTTAGTAAGTTAACATGTACTAGTCCATTTTCTCAGTCTTCTCGGTAACATCCTACATTTTTCTGTTTTCACACCAGAAATTTGCAACATTCAGTTAAGCGGTCTACACTTACTGTTTAATTTGTGAACATCGGAACAATTAAACTATGTGCTCCATTTAAACCACTGTACCTGTAAATTAGTTTAACAGTACTTGCACATACTCCATTGTGAGGAAGTCGATGAGTACAAGGATTAGTCTGGTTGAGTTGCAGCACCTGCTGTGGCTGAACTGTCCAACTCTCAAGTTGTAATATCTGCCAGTGTGGTCCGCGCCCTGCTCTCTCGGTGTGGGTGAAATCCTGTGTGCTCTCCTCTCTTCCCACAGGTCCTTATCATTTTCTTGCTCTTTTGGATGTCTGTTTTAATGGTGAGTCTCCCTCTCACATTAAGTCATTAAAAAGTCATAGTATATTGCAGGGGTGTCATTCATTTTCACCCTGGGCCACATCAACATTATGGTTGCCCTCAAAGGGCCATTTGTAACTGTAAGACTGTATAAATGCAACTACTCCCTAACATTGTTAAATAACGTATACTATGACTTCTGACATATGTTGACTTTTTCCGACACGCTATACTATGACTTTTTTTGGAACAGATATTCTGATGCTCTTTAGTCAAAGTTAACATGTACTGGTCGATTTTCTCAGCCTTAGTAACATCTGGCGATACCCAAGCTTGCGCACCAGAAATTGGCAAAATGCTTAAAGTAGGTCTACTGTACCTGTTAGTTACTAAACAGTACTTTGATTCTCATTCAATATTTTTTTTTCCTTACTACCATTTTATAGAATAGCATTGCACCTGTATGTTTCGTGTGGAAGACCAAAAACGATAAGTGTTGTTGGAAAAGTACAATACATAAATGATTATGGCTACAGTTCAAGGTCAATCTGAATGGAAGCACTGATAGGTGCACTTAGTAAACAATATACACATCGATGAGTAAAGATGGAGGTTTTCAGACAATATCAAACAGCTGACAAATCTTACGTGTCCTGAATAATGTTAATTGTAAATAACTGAGTCGTAATGGTACAGTATTTATCCATGGGTGAAGATAAGACAAACACACAGACACTGAATCAGTTGTAGTTTATACAAATATTTATTCTTCCACAAGTCTGTTCAGCCACAGTTTAGATGATGCCAATCTGTAGAGGAAAGTGGACATGAATTACTCTCAGGTTCATCAACAGAGGGAATACATCTGTATCTGCAGTCTCTGGCATCAGTGGTTCCTTTGAATGCATCATTGACATTCAGACATATAAAAGTTTACATCACTTGCACAGGATTCACAGCTTGAGAAAGCAAATGCAACCATTATGTTGACTTTAACTACCTTTCAAAGCTCACAACATTTACCCTGTTGAATTATTGAGGACTCACCTTGTTTGCAACATCCAACGCATCGTAATCTGGTGCGAGACGAACGTATGCCTTCTTCTCACCATCGGGCCTAAACAATGAAAGGAAAGTGGTCAGTAAAATCTATGCTATTAAGTTTATATTTACAATGAACAACAAGCCGTTTGTGGACCTATGTTGTTGACCACATTTAAAACTAAAATTCAGATCTTAAATTATATTAAAAAGGGTATATCAACTTACTCTTGAGTCCAACAAATACTCCGTACAGTGAGCCAATATACCACTGATCTGGCTTTAATTATGAACAGAATATTACATCGGAGTACACAATAGTGTCATCAGCCCAGTCTGGGTTAAGATTTTCTACCTGATGAGTGTGTTGACTTTGGCGACGTCGATGTCGTACAGCTTCTTGACTGCGTGTTTAATCTGGTGTTTGTTTGCCTTGACATCCACGATGAATACAAGTGTGTTGTTGTCCTCAATCTTCTTCATGGCGGACTCTGTTGTCAAGGGGAACTTTATGATGGCATAGTGATCCAACCTGCAGGGGTGAAAAAACATACATTAGACCAATAAGCCTTAAAATCTACACGTTTATTACATAACATACCCACATGCTCTTAAATATTGTAAAATCATGTAAGTTTGTGTCAGGTGCATCAGTTGTTTATAAAGCTCGAATCATACTTAATCATACTTTAATCGCATGTACCGCCATATGCACCAGGTTCAACCCCTGTGTTTTTCAGCAGCATGCTGTCACTGTAACTCACTTGTTCCTGCGAGGAGCACTCTTGCGGGGATACTTGGGCTGCCTGCGCAGACGAAGGGTTTTAGGGCGACGGAAGGTGGGAGAAGTCCTGATCTTCTTCTTCCTCTGGCTGTGGACACCCTTGAGCACAGCCTTTTTGGCCTTCAGGGCCTTTGACTTGGCCTCAGTCTTGACCGGGACAGCTTGAAACGAGAAATTATAGTTGTTAGACTTTTGTTCAGCCGTTGGTGCTCCAGTTTCGCTCCTCTGACACACGGCTAGCACTAACGCCAAACACCCCCCAAGATGTTACGTTACAGAACCTCTATAATCTACAACTAACGAAACGGCCAACGTTTAAGACATTGTCTCTGGTTCTTCTATTTCATCAGCAACTTAAACGCCGACGTTAACAATCACGTGTAGCTTACGTTAGTAACACCGCTAGGGCGAGGCTAATGCTAACACCACACAAATAGCTAAGACCCTAACGCATTAAATAATAGCTACGGCTACTAAGACATGTTACACAGGTTTATTTAGCTATCCGTGCACGTGACAGACTGAATAAAGAAATGAGGAGAGAGTAATGGCTGTAAATAAACAGCGTTCGTGAGCACAGTCAAAGCTAACACTAGCTTAGCATCACGTTCTAGGATACATGCCGGGGAGACAGTCGGTGTTATCTACTTATTTAGACAGTTGCGAGCAATATCCTGAGATTATATACATCACCGTCAGTTTATCTACGCATTTCGGGGACATCTAACGTATTTTAGATGCGATATTAGTGTAAATTCTACGAATAATTCATTCAAAATCATAAGATTGACAAACCTTCCTTCTTCACCTTCGGTGCCATGTTGAGGAAAGGAAGGCTAAACGGGGTTTCCTGCAGTATAATGCATGGGCGAGATCTCACATCAGATGTATCGCGATAGTTGAGAAGGCTGCACTGAATTCATCCACCCCATCGATTCACTCTAACTGTAGATGGGGCCATGTCAGAGTTTATCAGAAAGTATTGAAGATAGATGAACATAAAAATATATTTTCATTTAACTAATAATAGTTTTTAAAAAATGTATGTTTAGAAATGTTTTTGGAAATTGTTTTGAATAGTTATTTCAAGAGCTGTTTGAATATAACACTACATTTGGTTATGTTAAATCAGGAAGGCTTTGTTAGCTTACATTTGTTATTTGTTAGTATGGCAGTGTGCTACTGTAGTTCAACATATGCACACAATGTATTGCTTTGGGTATGTTGAGCTTTAAAACTATATGGGTATAATGAGTAGCATTAAATGTAAGGTACCATTTTGAAATAAGAAAAAAGCTAAAGAATAAATATTTTTGTGCTCATATCATTACAGGCATTTTCTATATGACTGATTTACTGTGGGTATGAAAAACTATCAGTAAGCTGCAGAATCATCAAAGTCAATTCTTAACATGTGAAGTAGAATTTATCCTTTCAGTGAATATTAGGCCACACAGGTCTAGTGGGGTGTGGAGGGTAAGATTATGTAATTGTTGGGTTTTGTTTCCCCATCTCTCTCACAACTGCCTCCAATTATATTTTAATTTTCATGTTGTTCAGTGTCCAACAGTCTAACCTGTTAGTTGTAATCATTCATCACTCAATCACTCACTAAAGCCTTCATATCTATTGAAGAATGCTCGTCGTCTGTCACAAGTTGCAGGTGAGCCAATGAACAGTAATGAAAACAAAACATATATAAACTGTTTATTTTATTCTCTGATAATACAAAGCACAAATATGAAAATTAGCAGTAAATCAAAAAGTCCACGTCCTCCGTATCAGTCTTGTACTACTCTCCTCTGGTCCTCTTGTGGCTTGTTTTTCTTCCCCTTTCTCCTGGTAGACAGAGTAGAAAAGAAATCGTGTCATATCACCAAAGCAGTGTCGGATAGAACGTCAGCTGTTGTGGTATAAAACCGATCTAGTTAATTACACACACCTTCCTTACTTTTTTAACTTGGCTCCGGTGGAATTTGATGCCGTCTTCTGAGACGCCGTCTTCTGAGACGCCTTCTTGTGCATTTCGCTTCCCCCTTTTTTCTGTGTTGTATTTCTTCTCTTCAGCTCCTGTCCGTTTGTCTTCTTTTCTCCTTTCTGCAGCTGCACTGCTGTTGGAGATCGCTTATCCCCTTTCTGCTCTCCACCCGCTGCCGGCTTCTCTCCTTTCTGTCCTCTATTTGGTGCTTTGCCTTTTGTCTTCATTAGGAAGCGAGGAGTTGTGCAAATGGTGCTTCTTGTCGGGGGTTTCCTCTCAAGTCTCCGCTTCACTTTACTAAACACAGACAAATACAGATGGGAGCGACCGTATTAACAAAACGATGACTTTACCAAGAACTAAAAGAGTGAGAACGTCTTTAAATGTATAAGTTATTGTGGAACTTCAGTATTGTCGTCCATCTCTTTTACCTGTGTATTTTCTTGAAGCCAATCATGTAGTCGGGCACAGGACAGCCAGCTTGTTTTATGACATTAGCGATGCTGTTAGAAAGAGATGCAAAGAGAAACATATTCAGAGAAACACTTCACATTTCAGGAGCTTGGAATATTAAGTGTCTGGACTCCCTCACTTCTTCCTTTGCATACTGTTTATGTCCTGCACCTGTACTCTCCTGGGGGCTGGATGTGCACACTGTTTTGCTTTCAGCCACTTGGCAAACATCGTCCTAATTACCACCAAACCTAACATCTGATGACGTGTCTGCCTCACCTGAAATATCTTGTGTTATGACCAGATTCTAATTTCCAGATTCAAACACACAAGCTGCACATGTTTATCTGCTCAGTTTGCACTTTTGATATCCACATACCTGCGCAGCAGGGGCTTGTCATTTTCTGTGAAGAAGGTGAGGGCCTTCCCCTGATGTCCAGCTCTACCAGTCCGACCTGAGGAGCAGCACATTGAATGTTAAATGAGGGAACTGATGAGCAGACAGGGAGAGAAAGAGGAGGAACACATGAAAGGAGACCAACACAGGATTAGAGCTGCAACTAACGCTTTACGTATTTTGCTATTATTCAATAATCATTTAACTTGTAATATGTCAAACATGACGATGTTACCAGACTGCGCCAAACTTTGTCAAAACCCAAAAGGTATTCAATTCACAATTATATCAAATGAACAATAATGATTTATCATTATTAAGATAATCACTGATGTATTTATTAGTCTACTAACTAATCAGTTAATGGCTTCAGCCCAATATATGTTGATCTTATTGTGAAACGATTGACTATACATAGAAGCTAACCAATTCGGTGGATGTACTCCACGGAGCTGGTGGGGAAGTCGTAGTTCAGCACGAGATTGACTCCTTTGAAGTCGATTCCTCTGGCGAGCAGAGCCGTGCAGATCAACACCCAGATTTTACCAGACCTGAAACTGTTCACTACGTTGTCCCTCTGAAACACAGAAGCAACAGGAGGAGGAGGATAAACACAGTTGCACAGTTGCACTTCAGTTCATAATACGGCATGTCACGTGTCCGTGCGTACCTGCTGCTGTGTGCGGTCTGCGTGGATCACGTCCACATTGATGCCTTCGTACACCAACTCATGGAAAAGCTCCCGTGCTCGGTCTATAGACTGCACAAACACCAGCATGGGAGGCAGGAAACCCTGAAAAAAGCAAGGACGACAATCTAAGTTTGTATAGAAATAGAGCTTGTATTAAAAAAAAATACTTCAACAAACATATTTTTCATACTTTTTTGATGATTTCCCTCATGGCCACCAGTTTGCCGTTCTCCGTCCCGACAAACAGCAGCTTCTGCTCCACCGTGTCAACCGCCGCATTTCTGAGAAGACGATGAATTCACTTTTATTACGTGAGAAAGAGATTAAATAAATCCATCCAATTAAGGACTTCTACGTGTAGACAATCACCTGTGTCCAATGTTGACCGACACCAGGTTGTCGAGGTTCAGGCGGCACCACTGCTCTACGTCGGGCGTGCAGGTGGCGCTGAAGAAGGCCCGGTGCACCTTTGACCCAGAACAGGCCAGAAAAACTGCGGCGAGCTGCTCCCTGAAGCCGGTCTTACCGCCTTCAAACAGCTTATCGGACTCATCGACAACCAGCCACTCCACACTGATCACCAACAAAAGACAACAATCAAGCCCACATTTTTCCCCCCTATGATTTGTTAGTGCGGCATGTTTAAGTGACTGTATTTGACAGTATACAGCGGAGACAGAGAGGGATATGATATGAGACGAAAGCTCCCCTGCTGGAATGTATCCACCCTAACAGACCGAGGGATAGTTAAGAGGAAGCAAATGCGTTTTTGATGGTCAACTGCAGAGAGCAGAATATTCCGTGTTACCTGCTGAGGTCGAGAGCTGGAGGATCCTGCTTGAGAAGGAAGACGAGTCTGTTTGGAGTGCTGACGAGGATATCTGCACAAACATGTACGGGGTAGATAGTGACGTAAAGGCAATTCATGTTTCAGATTTGAGTTCTTCTGTGATAACGTTTTCCATTTCTCACCGTATTTCTTGTTTGACTGTGGTCCATACTTCTTGGCTGCCAGAGAGGCTTTGTCCATGATGTGAACTCTAAATCCTGTTCCCTCGGACAGGCGGAGCAGCTCTCTGTAGGTCTAAACACAACAAAACGGACGTCAAAAAATGCATTAAAATGTGTGTGATCGTTTAACACAAAGTCAGTGAAACTCCCGCTGATTAAAACCTGGAAGCTAGTGTCTCCACATCTCCGTCCTCGATATCGAAAAACATGCCGTACATCATGAATTGGACAGCTTGATAATGGAAAGTAAAATGGAAGGTAATAGTTGTTGTGTACCTGGTTGGCCAGTTCTCTGGTCGGGGAGATGACCACAGCTCTGAAGCCCAGGTTGGCCGGCTGCTGCAGTTGGGCGAGCAGCGGGAGACAAAAAGCCAAAGTCTTCCCTGATCCTGTGGGAGCGCAGGCCAGGAGCTCCCGACCCTGACCGAGAAACCAGACACACGCAAATCCTCACATAACCACCATCTGTACGTTAGATCACTGACTGTGTGTGTGTGTGTGTGTGTGTGTGTCTGCACTCACATGCATCATGAGCGGTATCGCCTGCATCTGTACTGGCGTCGGGGAGTTCAGCCCGGCGTCTTTGAGGTTCTGAAGGACACGTGGGTTGAGATGATACTCGGACTGGAGGTCCTCAAACGTGCTCACAGGGTCAGGCACGTCGCAGCCGTGCACGTTGATGCGGTGTTGAGAGCGAATACGATTGACCTTAAATCAAAATATAGAAAAGGACATTACACAGGATAGAGGACTAAGTCACAATGATATAAAGTCTGCTTGTCCTTTTATTATGTTGTGTATTGTAAATACCTTTTCCTGATGGAGATGCTTCAGCCTCTTCAGCGAGGATTTCTCCTTCCCATCACTCGGCAGGTTTTGGATCTTTCTGTCTAATGAGGAGGTCCAGGTGATGCCTCTCCCCCCCGCGTCTTCCACCTGGTTGCTTTTCGTCCTTTTCTTTTCTGTGCTCACGTCTTTCTCTTCATCCCTTTGCTTCCTTTTGCCCCCTGCTCCAGAATCTCCACTTTCACTTCCCCCCTCCTCCTCACCATCTTCATCATCATCCTCCTCATCAGCAGCACCATCACCATCCAGTCCTGCAGAACTGCTCTGGGATCTACTGGTTAGTCCTGTGCCAAAGTAATCGATCGCAGAAAAAGCATTTGAGGACGCTTCCCCTACGTGAGATCTGGCGACCTGTAAAAATAAAACAAGTACAGTCACCATCAGTGTATAGTACACTTGTGTGAGATACTGTCCTTCCAGTCATTTAATTGAATAGCTCATATAAAACACACAGCCTACGAAACATCCGAAAAACGAGCAGCGCGGCACTCTTTAACGCTAGTGCAACTCGGGACTTGCGAAAATACATAAAAACCGTGACACGTGCCGTTATCGATCGCTATTTTTAATCCAGTATACCATCAGCTACACGTGCTCAGTTTACCTTAAACCGAGCAGCGTCTTGACCAAACCTCTTCAGATCAAATTTAGCTCCAGCTCCGAGTTTCCGAAACAACTCGAAGGCGTCCATTGCTGCAGCAGCGTGGTCTGTCCGCATCCAGGCATCACTAGTCAACATCCGGATCATCCACCAGCAGCACATCACAATCTGCTCTGGACACCAGCGCCCCCTGCCGGCTGCGTTTCACACTCCCAGTGAGAACAATGTCATTTTATAGAATTTAACCTCATTACACATCAGACAGAATAACACCTCCAGCCAAACGATTCAAGTGTATATGCAACTGAAAATATGAATTATTGTGGTGTATTATCATGTATGACATCTTCACATTTGTGTGAATAGTTTATCACCCGTCTCTTTCCCTTCATTGTCACCTTTAATCATGTTTTCAGTCACTGGCGGGCTGTTGTGTTTTTATCTTTGGGAATTTAGGGGTAAATATAACAGCTCCTGCTAACAAATAAAAGTTTCTATCTAAATCAGAAATACAATATTGCTAATAAACCGTGGTAAGAATTTAAATATAATTATATTGTGTAGATAACCAAGACGTGTGAATTCACCTAAACTATCAATGCTTTAGCCTTCTGAAAGTAGTGTTTTCACTGTTGTTCCCTTTTTTAATTCATTGAGTATTTTTTCCATCAAAGCAACCATGACTTATTAATAGACCTCAGATCAGAGAACTGTATCTTATTTTGTTATAGTGAGAGCAGTTGTCATCTGTATGGGTACACAGTCTTACTTTCACTGCACTTAAGTCCAGTTTATTAGTCCAGTCATCACATTAGACAATGTAATGTACTTCTGTACAATTATTTATTATTAATCATGATTCTTTGCCCGATATCATACAATAGAATATTATTGGAATCGATATAAAACTATATTGAGATTTTTTCATATATCAAAATATATTTCAATATGGCAGATAAATGACAAATAAAACAATCAACTGTTCCAATGTTACGCATTAAAATCGGACAAAACTCTCACATGAAAACAATGAAGATTTTTCCCATCTCAATTAACTTGGACAACAAAATTCTGTTAAACAATTACATGTGTTCATAATAATGTGATTACACTGAAAGTCCATGATTTATACTCATATATTTGATCTCATTACATAATTTTAACTACACGTCTTTGTATATCAGATGTTAAGCCATAGTAGAGTGCAGGTGCAATACAATAAATAAAAGGATATAAAAGGAAAAGCTAAATTATAATCTTGTATCTTGAAATGCACTTAAGAAGATCTCATTATGACGTTAGTTTGTGGTCAGGTGTTTCTCCTCTGAGAGAGCAGTCTTAGTGGTCTCAGCTTCACAGGTCTGTAGCAAATCCTCCAGGAAATGAACCACCATCTCTCTACTTCCCTCCTCCTCTCCTCGTCCGTCCCCTTCAGCCTCCAGCTCCTTCAGTCTGATCAGGGTCTGCTGTAGACGACCTATTCTCTGTTGAAGGGTAAAACTCTCCCCCCCTGCCTCTTTCTCTCCCTCTGCCCTCTCTGCCCCCTCTCCTCCTCCTCCCTCCTCCGCTCTAAGATAGTTGATCAAATGCTCCTTGATGCCCCTCCCCTCCTCCCCGGCCAGCGATGCCCCGAGCGAGGGCATGTCCTGCGACTGGCTGACGGCGAGCAGGTGTAGGAGAGCTTGAGAGAGCGTGTGCCGCAGACTGGCACTGTAGCGGTACTCGAAGAAGTCGTTTGTGTCTTCGCTGTTCTCGAGCGCCTTAGCGAGGGAACGCCACACACAGCCGAACCGCTCGGAGTCCCCGTAGCTGCCGCGGGTGGACGGAATTGCCAGAGCAGCAGCGGACTTGATCCGCACCTTGAAGTTCTTACAGGAACTGACAACATGGCAGAGGGAGGAGAATGCGTCACAAGACCACGGGGCTGAGTCTGAGAGGAAGAAAGAATCAGAAATTTAACTATGACATAATGTAATTTTAATCAATCACTGTTGGGCACATTTTACACCCTTAAAAAAATCATCCTGTGACGGACACATAAACTTTGATTCTACCGTTTGGACACAGAGCCAGGTTGACCTGTTCATACCAAATGACTAGAACACTTACCGAGCGGCAGGGCCGGGTTTCTGAAGGCATTTCCCAGGGCGTAACAGGCATTCCATCGGACCTTCATAGTGGCCTCTGATTGGATGGTTTTAACCAGAGCAAGGACCGCATCCTCCAGCGGGCGTTGGAACGCAGACCGGGTCAGCTGACTCTCACGCAGGAAATGAAGCAGATTCCCAAGCGCTCGCACTGCGTTAGCCTTGACCTGAGGAAGCAAGGTGAGAGCCAATCAAAAAAAGAAACCGAGAAAATCAGTCATACTAATAAAGTTCATTCATTTAATTTTGGAACTACTTCATCACAACTATCTTCTTCTTGGCAGAACGCAGTGTGGCAAGACTTAACAAATGAGAGTGTTAGTGCCTTGCTCATGTGTGTTTAAGAGAGTTCTCACCCTGTCTTTGTCGGCTGATGCTCGGGTGGCTGCCTGCAACATCTTGAGAAGCAGCATGTCCGATAACTCTTCTTGGAAATCCACACCTACACTCTCCCTAAAGAAGAGACAGGAGAGAAACGGATTACAAAATAAATCTAGAATATATACATTGAAAACTATAATCCATTATAACTGGTTTAACCCAAATCAGTTAGCTAAAATGTTTTTCAAAACCTTCGATATCGGATTTCTTTAATCTACTGTCGATAAGATGGATTCTGAGTGTTTTCCAAAGCATTTGTGTCCACGTTTTCTTACATATTAACAACAAGTGTGTCCGTTAGGTTGCCTAAGGACCAGGCAGCCTTGGCACGGACGTTTGGAGACCGATCGTCGAGGGCAGCGAGGATAGTGTTGGCTGTATCCGCCACGAACATCACATCCTGAAAAAGAGAAAATCACGACCCGTTGAACAGATCCTTGAGGGTCAGAGACGTGTACCGTGGTGCTCAGTACGCTCACAGTCCGTACCTCTCTCAGACACGGGAACAGGATGTAGACTCCCAGAGCCCTGACTGCTGCGGTCTTCACCAGATAGTTCTCACTGTAGGTCAGCCCCAGTAGCACCGTGATGCACATCAGCTGGGTCTTGTCCTTAAAAAAAACCCACAACACCAAACATCATCAACCTACGGATCCGTGAAGCTCGGTAGCAGCGGAGTAGAAACAATCCGAGAGGAACTCACCGGCAGCTGTGAGAAGGCCTGCGGCAGAATGGAGGAGAGCGCGTCGCAGGCGCTCGTCTGCAGTGTGGGATGTTGTTCGCTCTGCAGCGCTCCGTTCAGCGGGCCGCTCAAAACGTCCGACCAAAACAGCACCACCTGTTATCATGCAGTTATATTAACCAACAATTTGGGGGATTTAGTGAAACAGGACATAAAATATATAGTTTTCAGAAACCAAACAATGGAAACAAACAGCAATAGGACACGAGCAACAATCTTCAAAGACAGTTGTACCCCGATACAGTATATATTATATACTGTACATATATACTATATATATGCAGTATAAAGACAGTTTGTACTTACTTGGCTCATGGGGACCCTCGAGCTCTCAGACACGTTGTTCTCTGCTCTGTACTGCTGGATTATTCCGGTCCCCAACTCCTCCAACAACTGCATAAAAGACGACGACATAGATATCAGTGCACAGTCATTTTATATCAATTTTCATAATTCACGAGTACACCATCTGTATTGCTGACTCTTGAACATAGGAGCAGGTAAGAGGAATGTGTTACCTTTGCCCCGTGCAGTTGTATGGAGGGGTCTGTCTCCCCAAGGCAGCGAGTGCTCACCTGCCCAATCTCACATAGACATGCTTGTGCTAGAGAGAAGTAGCCATGCACCAGGTGGAACATGACCTGAAACACACACATATATTAAAACATTTAAAAAACACCCTCAGATATTAGAAATGTCTGTTTTGTCCCTCTCTGTCTTCCATTATCTCTTACCTGTAGAGCTTCTAGTCGGACAGGGGAGGGCTCTAAAGCAGCACCTCCTCCGGCTCCCTCGCCGTCCAATTGGTCCTCTCTAGGCTGAGTCACCAGCGACACGCACAGCTGCAGCAGCCATGGCGGTGCGCTGTCCACCTCCTCCGGCGTGCGAGGAACTTGAGGGGAGTGTGTCCCCGAGCTGCGCAGGGAGGGTTTGACTGGAGTGGGGGGCGTGGACACTCCGTCTCTTTGTCTCCAGCTGAGACCAGAGTCCTGTGGTGTGAATGAGCCAGTTCTGCTGCTGCTCTCTGGCTGCCGGAGGAGGAGCTGGACCTCAGGGAGAGGAGCCTGAGTTGTCACCAGAGCCCCATAAAGCGTCAGGACTGACACACGGACATTTACATCTAAAGACAGAGAGCAGTTCTATTAAAAGAAGTTATTAACCGGGTCTATTAAAGGAGACATGTTATGCTCATCTTGAGGTTCAGACGTGTGTTTTTAAAACTGAGAAATGGTCTATATACTGTATTTCTCCGTGGATTGAGCGTTTTCAGACTTTCACAGTATTTATACAGCACTTTGACCTGCTTTATAATAAATTTAAAAAACACATGAAAATCTCACTTTTTACAATATGGGACCTTTAAATCCTTGTGTGTAGTTTATCCAAGTGCACTGATGAAATACAGACCTCTGTGGCGCACATAGGGACGCATCTGCTTCCAGAGCTGGCTGAGCAGACCAGGTCTGAGACGGTGGTAGGGAGCGTTCGCCACCAGGTAGGCCAGACACTAAAAGACACGACAGGTGGAGATAAGTTGGGAGAACCAGTCCCATTTTTGGTCCAATCCCAGTGCTTCCAGATACCCCCACCTACATGTGTGCAGGTCGTCAAAACATATGTTACAATAAAGCTTGAACTTTCACACTTCACACAACACGTTGTCGTACCTTTATGACCTGTGTGAGCGTCTGAGGGGAGGTCTCGGCCAGCAGAGCCAGAGTGAGAGCGCGGTGCAGTTCTCTGATGGCGGTCGCCAGCAAGAAGGAGAAAGGGGTGTAAGATTTACGAGGGGACGCCGTGTCTTCGGCCACAGCCAGGAACTGACGGGAGCCATCCAGAATAGCCGACAGCACCTGAAGCGCACACGCACGCACCTGGAGGGAGAGGAAAGAGACGAACGCTACGGCTACAGTCGGGGAGAATAGTAACAAGTACGACGGTGAGTTGTACCTTTGGAGAGGGGTCCTTTAGTATAATTGTGATAAGAGTGAGAGGCGGCGGCCCCCCAATAGGAGAGTCGGGGATGAAGGAGGACCAGTACCCATACAGAGTCCTCTTCTCGACGCCTTTCACCACCGCTAGCAGACAGTGCAGAGCTCCCTGACGTATGCGACCGTTGTAAAGCCTGAAAGAGACAGATACTTCAGTAGGACTTCTCACCTAAAAAGAGACATGGACGGACATGAGAAGCGGTTTTCTGTACCTTAATTTGCTCTGTGCACTGCCTTCTGGGTCGGAAAACTCGGAGTCAGAACTGGCTCTTTTCCAGGACGGGTAGAGAGACGGGCCAGATGTTTTAGACAAGGACTCTCCCTCACCTCGGCTTCCCTCTCTGCCCCCTCCTTTCTGAAGTGCAGGCACCGTCTCGCGGTTCTCTTCCTCTCCGTCGTCCACTCTGCTCTCCTCAGAGCTCGTCTTCTTCCCCTTCCCTTTGGATTTCCTCTTTTTATTCTGGGAGAAGAGACGTTTAAAACATTTCCACCAAAAATCAGTCAGTCATTTTGAAAACTTACTAAAAACCTTTACCAAAATAAATGAAGGCTCGTCTTACCGCCGAGGTTTTGCCCGACACGGCGGCATCTTTTGGTGGTTCTGGGGATGTTGGTGGTTCGGCGGGTTTCGGGGCAGAGAGAGCCTCGTACTGAGGAAGAGGTGTCGGGTAGAGCACGGTTGGCCACTCGACACTCACACCCGGAGTTCCCTGGAACATGAGCCTCTGCAAAAAACATGTACAGGTCTCCAATAATTAGTATTCAAACAGGAAAAGGGGACAACAAATGAAAAGGTGATAGATTATGCAAGTTTGCACCTTAAGTGCGGCCAGCACAGACCCAAGCTCCTCTCCGACAAACTTCCACTTCCCACCTGAGAGACAACACTGGAGTCCCTTCAGTGCTGCCTGGATCACCTGCACCGAGGACATAAGGGCAGGCATGGGTCAACTATCATTATGTATACCCCCCCCCCTACATTGAAATTTTCATAACAAATAATCCGTACCATGCAGTAGAAGAGCTCATCCGTGTTGGGAGGTTTGGAGGACTGCAGTGTTTTCAGGAAGACTCTAAAAGAGACACTTCTGTATTGATCATCCAAAGGTGCCTGACCAGGGATCCTGGAGAGAAACAATTACACTTACTCACAGAAACAAACACACACTGGCTCAATGTATAAGCTCGCTAAAGGCCTACCTGAGACAGATGTTGGCCATACAGGTGAGAGCAACGCGGCGTAACTCCATACTCGGCTGCGATGGAGAACTATACAACAGGAGGACTCCATCTTCACCCAGCAGGTCACGGAGGTGCTATGAAGGAGGAAGAAAATCTTAATGGAAATATTCAGCAGTTATCATGTTATCATACACTACAATACAATACAATGTTCCTACCTGGTGGCACTGAGGTCCATTCCCGTACACTATAGTGGAGAGAGCCAGGAGGACATCCGAGTGTGTCCACGTGCTGCACACTTTCAGCGCACCGGTGGTGTAGTTTAATAATACATCCAATGTCCGCTCGTCCATTATCACCTGAAGAAACAGCGAGTGGTTGCATACTTGGTCAGTCCATGAATATATGTGCACAGCACTGTTACTGTTACAGGTTAGTTGTTACCTTTAGCTGGTTGAGTAGATGATGCACTAGCTGGCACAGTTTGATGACTAGATGCTCTTGACTCAGTGGCACAAGACAGCTGATGTGTTTCAGCAGACTGCACACGTCCTGGAAATGGAGAATTTAAAGGAGGCTCAGCACAAACCAAGAATGTCACTGCACCAAAACAAACAATCCTGAATATCACGTCACGTGCACTTATTTGAAGAAACTTTTCCTGAACATTTAAACACATCTAGGTACTAAAACTGCACTTTGTTTTCTGCTGGGGTGTCGACGCTACAAGACCACAGACCGTGCGTTACCTCCGGTCGGATGTTGATGTTGGGCTCGAAGGTTCTGTTGTAGTTTTCGGACAGGAGCTGGTCTAGGAACAGGTTGAGCTCCTCTCTCAGCTGGCTCGAGTCTGCTCGCAGGGCTCTGAGCTTCGCGGCGCAGCGGGTGAACTGCTTCTCGACGTCCGACGGTGAGCCGAGCCGCCAACCGTCCGTCCCGAGCGGGGTGAACGGGGCGGCCTCCGCGGACAGAAGCACCGCAGGAAAGACAGGAGCATCACTGCGGCTCATGAAGACCGAAGATAACGGCCCAGTTTGAGCCGCCATGTTTTTTTGACCACGGAAGTGTTTCACAATAGTTGTTGCTTCTTCTTTTAAGCTCGACATCCAAATGTGAAGCTCAGTACTGCCCCCCACAGTGAATAAACGGAACAGAAGAAATAACATTTAAAGTAATTTTAAAATGTACCATTGCAAGACAAAGTCCTGCATTCAATTGATATTTCAAATTAAGTTGCAAAATACTCACAACCCCTTTTACATAATTAGGTAATATTCCAATCTTGTTTTTTTTGTACCGTTTAACGGCACAGGAATTGGCATTAGTCCACGTTGTATACTTTATAAACGAAAAAATAATTTAAATATTCATGCATTTGTAACATTTTTATGTTGCAGCTGATCAAGGTGGCGCCAATTCTGACTCCCTTGTATTCAATTAGGTGGTTTAACCTTCAGCTTTTGGATGAAGCTTGGAATCAGTGCAGTGACTTCTAACTGGATATCAAGAAACTGTAGGAGTAGACCGTGCATTTCTTTGTTCAAAATGGAGTATATCAGACTCAAGTGTGTATCAAGGTTCACAATAATGTGTTCAGAATGTCAGGACTTTTGATCCTAGTACATGCAAGTGAAGCAAATTCAAGGCACACACACACATTTTGAAGAAATTTACTGTCAGTTTTGTGCTCAACATGTCAAAAATATTACAATACCAAACTGCACACTAAATTACATTCCAGAGATATACAGCACTAACATCGTCAAGAGTCACAACCGAAGTGGAAACAGGAATGTCAACGCATGTAGAAAACCTTCAATCTCTTGGCATGTTGTTTTCTTTATTAATTGCAAGCAACAGACTTGGAATTTATATTCAATCTCAGTCAACACTGAAAATTAAAAAGGCATTTCAACAAAAACTTTCTGTTGCTCGTTTTAATTCCATGAAAAATAAGTTATTATACAACATATCCATATGAAAACAATGTACAAGGTCCGCGCGTCAATTCACAGCAAAAATAATATCCGGAAATCATGATTCACGAGTCTGTCAGATGCGAAAACGTTGATTGAGTGCTGGAATGGAGAGTAGTTTTAAATTGACATTTTCTATGATCGGCACATCACCAGTCCAGGCATGACTAAAGCGCCGTCCACCGACGGTGGCACACAACAACAGACTGAAGCAAGCAGGAAAACATGAGGTAGGCATGTCTGCACAAAGGTGGTAGCAAATTAACAGCGTGGCACAGAAGTATTAAGGGCTGAATTAAAAGTAGTTTTCGGAGGGCTCGTTTGGCATTCAGCCCGACTTGAACAGTAGAATGGCCACCTGGCCCAGGTAGAAGTAGATGAAATGCTTCGTCTCGTGCGTCACGTAGCTGCCGAAGTTTCTCCCGACAATGCAATGCCATGTGGGGTTGTACTTCTTGTCAAACTCCTTTCGGGGGGGGGGGGGACAATAATAATTAGCAGATCATAGATTAAAAAAAGTCTTTCACAACAGGTTCCACATGTTACACCTTTGCACTACTCATTTAATATTGATCTAAATGTACCTTTTTGACATAGGCGGCAATGTCCTTTTCAATGTTGTACTTCTCCATAGCCTGCATGGCACAGTCCACTGCATCCTGCTGCATTTCATCAGACATGTCTGCATTCTTTATCACGGCCTTCTTCTCAGTCATTTTGGCTGTTTGACTGCAAGGGAGGAAGAAAAACTACCAATTATCAAGTTACATTTTCCACTTAGTTCTGACTGGTTCCAGTGCAAACAGTCACTATAGCTGTAGTTAGGCATCTACATAATTGCATTTTTAAAATTTGATGATATATAATTCAGAGTTAGATGAGAATGGTGCCCATCTAGCCAATCCAATTGGCCTTAATTGTATATGAGGCCTCATGAAGCAGGATCATCAAGTCATCTGGATAACTTTGAGGTAAAAACCCTGATCTCCATCACTTGGAGGCTACACAGTAAGAGTTGTTCTGGATATATATATATATATACACATTTAGACTCGTTGTGTGTCTCACAAATGGGTATTTGTGAGACACACAACGAGTCAATTTTGCACATCAAGGCATAAAAGAAGGTTTCTGACAAGATATAGCCTGCACTGTACAGCTGAAAGCAGTACATCTTTGATTTACTGCTGCTTGGGAAGTTACCCGTAACTATTTCTGCACATATTCAGCCACAATTTACTTAAATTTGGAAGGTTTACAAATATCAATGTAAAGAAAGTGGAGGGAGCATTCATTCAGCTTTTCAGGAAAAATACAAGAGGCTCAGGCAACATTAGCATACCAGCAAAGGAAGCATCAGTATTCACTTTCACCTTATTGTGTTATTAACAAACAAGGCGACAGTCGCAGTAAACACTCACCGTCTCTCAGCGAAGTTGAATTGTTAGGAGTTGTATGTAACGGGCAGCTGCACAGATATCCGTTCATTTATCCAAAGAAAGCGTGCGTCTTTGACTCCGCCCTTCACAACACATCCGGTAGCTGATTGGCTGGAGGGAAGCCTCCACCCTGGTGACGGCGTTTTTCACTTGCGGACACTGCCTGCATCTTATTTCCACCCAGAATGCACTGGTTTCAACCCCCCCACCCCCTTCGATAAGCCCTACAATTACATCCCAACGGTTATTCTCGAGCACTTTTCCTTGACCTCGATGGAAAACGTCATGGGGGGTCAAGGAAATATGTGAAGGAGAATTCATGAGGAGTTAGGAAAGACAACCATAGTGCTTAGAGAAACCGACTACACTTATGAGTATGACTGTAAAACCTGCGTAACAAAACCATATCGTTTGTTTTCATGGACGGCCGAATGGTGCGTCACTTGAAACGATGCCGCCGCAAGGGATTGTGGGGCAGTATTATCCTCTTTCCTTTGGTAAAGGAAGGTCCAGTGTATCCTATGCTGAAGGAGATGAGAAAGGAAGCATCGAAAGCACCTTTCCTAAGCATTTAGAAAATTCGTCTAGCTCTCATCATGGCGGCCATTTAGATACGTCCCGGTAATTTCACTCATTTAGGAACCTTCCATAACAACAATCACCTGTCAACCGCAGAGGAAGTGGTTGATCCCCGTGGTTAGGTTCAACTTGCAACGCATGAGAAATTAAAATAGACGATTGTGCATCGTTTAGATCCCTGATCAGTTGTAAATACACACAAAAGAGCATATCACAATAAATAAATAAACAATTTACATCACACACTGAAATTGGGCCACTTCCCAGACTGTGCGTCTCGTGTACTGACAATACATTTGATTTTTAAACTGTTATTTTTATATATTGCAGCCTCTAAAAACATACAACATCTAAGTCCAGAACGGTGCTCATACGTTTGAGCTTCACTGTGCAGAATGTTTGAGAAAAGGATCACTTTAAATCTGAGTTTAAAACATGTAAATACAAGCAGGATTGTGTGACATCTCAGCTAGTAAGCCAATCATAGTTCAGTTTACACGTATACATAAGTGTGATGTGGAAACCTTTTTATTTTTACTTTACAGTTAAGTGGGACACTACAATGAACACTATTTGTATATTTTGTTCTTAAATTTGTCTGGAGGGGATCTTTAGGGGATTACTTAGGGATCGAGGCTTGAGTACACAATTATAATTAAAGTAAAGGTAGTAACGGAAGGATTAGCATAAACGGCTTACAGTTTCCACCTCACTAATATTTCATAATTGGGATTTCCCTCTGCTTTAATGCCTGCAGGCTCACCAAACAGACAGACCGTTTTTCTTTATTTGGGGCCAAATAAGAACTGTAGGACAGTGTCAGAGTGAATTTTTGGTGACATGAAAGATAGAAACCCGGCCTCTGCAAAAGTGGAGTTATCCTTCCCGTTAGTGTCAATGCATGTACAAATGCACACAACAGATAAATATTTAAACGGGAATATTCTTATCACACAATTTCACAAAAAACCTTCAGTCTAGTTAGATATTATAAGTCTGAAGCTATTTGCACTTTTCATCTCGTCTTTACTTTGACTCACTGGAATCTATTATTTGGACAGTACAGAACAGATACTGAAAAAAGGCCAAAATTAAAGTTTAAATGTAGCTTTCATTGAATAGATAGCTTCACAGATCTCTCTTCCTTAACTATTAATTACCCACAATTCATATCTTCATGTGCTTAAATCATGGATGTACCTTCCTGCCCTCCCCGTTTTGATATATATTTTTGAAAGTATAATCCAAACAAAACAATCACTCCTCTGTGATTGCATATGAGGTCCCACACTAAAAGAAACTTTTTTTTGTCTGACAGCCAATTTATTTAGAATATTCCACTATTTGATGGTTATAGATCGTGGGACAGGGGTTGGACCGTCTGCCGATAAAAAGCTCCATCTTCACCTTCCTAGAGACAAATGTACTTCTTAAATCTCCTGCATGTATTTGGTGACTTAAGGCACCTTTTGTGGCATCAAGACATACTGTGGAAAAAAACAGCACAAACACTTGACCTATGTTATTGAAATTTTTATTAAAAGAGAATAAAGCTTTAGGATACTGGAGATCATACTTAAGAAAATCAATCAAATCATCGTCTGCAGCAAAAGACTGACCTAAGAAAAAGATACAAACCACGTTAAGGTCACATTCCCTTGTCGCGTCCTAGTCCTCCCTCTTCCCTCCCTACTCCGCTGTTAATGGCCGCTCACTATTTACCACTCTCCTTACGCGTGTGGATCCATCCTGCACCTCCCAGCCCTCCTGGTTTTGAGCTGAGCTCTTCCTTTTTTTTTTTTTTTATAATTTTGAAAAACAAAAATAAAATCGGTTGTCACAGTGCCGGCAGTAATTGTGTCTCTGAGGTCCCACACAAAATGGAAAAAATAAAATAAAAATTAATTTGGATTATTTGAAAGCCAATTTAGTTTGAATATTTCCCTATTTCCGGTTTGACGGGGTTATGTGGACAGGGCCAGGGGTCAGGATCATCTCCCGGTAAAATGCTCCCATGCTCCTGATCCATGTATCCATCCTGAAGCCTAATCCTAATCCTGCTCTGATCCTGAATCCTGATCCGGCTCCGGAATGGGGGGACAATGAGCCCAGTCCAAACCTTCAGAATACCAGCAGAACCAAAGAGAAGGAGGCAAGTTAGAATCACACCTTCAGAAAATACCAAAATTAAAAAATGTCAATAAATGCATCTACGAGGGAGTTTACTTGGTGAAAAACAGGGAACACCCTATATAATCATTCCCAAACTAAAATTTACTTTGGAGACTAAAAGACGAAGACGAGCAAAAGCAAAAATAAAACAAAAACAACAACAAACCACAAGTTTTGAGTCTCCAAATACAAAGTGGTATACAGAACTTGTTACAACTGAAAACATTCAACAACAGCACTCTATTGTCAAGTGCATGTTTAAAAAAAACTGAACAGCCTTATAATGCAGATTTCACAGTTGACAAGGCACAGCCATCATACCATTGGTGCCATATTTGACTCCTCCTCCTGTTTATCTTAATATGAACTGTTTCCTCTGTTCCCATCCTATCCTGTTCCTCTGAACTCTACAGAGAGACACACAAGAGGGTCAAAAGGACAGTAGTATATGCTTCAAAGAGGTTGATGCTTCAAAACAAAAAGCGTAGGAGGACAAGTAGAAGAAAAGTATAGGGAAGGGTGACAGATCAGAAAACTGATGGTGAGAAAGGGACAAGGAAGAATGGGTCCGTGGACAAAAAATGATATCTAAATAAGAAAACTGCAACAAAAAGTGTGTGTGTGTGTGGGGAGGGGGAGGGAGATACACAAGAAGACAGTGTAAACAGGTATCATGAGATGATCCGTGATGAGTATACAGGATTTGTTGAGTGATGTGAAGACTTCCTCTCCGGCTCCAGAGTCACACCGTTGCGTTAGCTCTAGGTGCGGGAGCGAGAGCGGCGGGGAGAGTAACGGGGAGACCCTCTGCTGCGACGGGACCCGCTCTTGCTTTGGCTCGGGCTGGGGGTCCGGCTCCGGCTGCGACTGCGGCTCCGGCTACGAGAGCGAGAACGACCATAGCTCGGGCTGCGAGGACCGTCCACCTTCACATGAATGTAGGCAGTCTCTCCCTAAACATAAACACACACACACACACACGCACACACACACGCACACACACACGCACACACACACGCACACACACACGCACACATCGATTAGCATGTGTAAGTTGTCTTTGTCATCTTTAAGACCTCTGCTTGACTTACAAAACATCTGTTTTGAGGTTCAATAGTTTAACAACCAGAAGTGGGCCAAGACATTCTGATAAATAAGCCACGCAGTGAAGCATATTCTTACCACGCTACCATCAGTTATCTTCACTACACGAGCGACACGCATAGCATTATGATGAAAAACATTGAATAACCATTCAAACCTAACGCTGGCATTTACTTACTGCCCGGTCATTTCCACCTTCTTCCTTTGAGAAAACCATTCCTTATTAAGTTAGCGGGAGGCTGCAGCCCCATACGTACCTCGTGAGAACGAAACTTGGTGTTGTCCAATTGACGGACAGCGTAGGACATGTCTTCTTTGCGTACAAACTCAACTACCCCGGTGCCATCGCGGTACACATCAGCATAACATACATCACCTGCCTCTCGCATGTGATCCTTCAGGTCCTGCCAGCTTCCACTGGACGGAAGACCTGACAGGGAAAAGTGGCGTGAGACTCGTACTTTCATTTATACACTTTTGGTGAAGAGCGAAGTACAAAACATCACCCACCTGACACAAGAACCCTGTACTCTGAGCGTCGAGAGGGCGGGCCATGCCTTCCCCTCTGGGGTCCCATTGGTCCGCCACCACCACCACCACCCCCTCCGCCGCCACCGCCGCCGCGATCACCACCGCCTCCTCCTCCGCCTCCCCGTCCACTTCTAGGAAACTCAACGCGCAAGCGGTAGCCATCGTAGTCGTAACCATCACGCCCGTAGACGGCATCCTCAGAATCCCTGTGAAATCATCAAACTTCAATCAGCTACATTCACACAGAGCGTTACTAGTTAAGGGCCCAAGATACCAGTTCAGCCGATTTATTAATCGTAACATATTATCTTGCAAACTAAACTGATTAAACCAGTGGAGAAAATGAATCTTGCTGAATTTGTGTATTCCCTGAGAAGAGAGATATGTTTCTTTTCTTCGTGTTAATACAAACCCATATGTGGCCTCATAGATTTATACAGGAAACTATTATTGCATATAAAGAGTTTAATGTGCTGTCAATTAGTTGCTTTAATTAATCGTCTTTGTGTAAGGAAAGAGATATCAGTCCTCTATCGTTTAGTCTTTGGCCTCAATATCAAGACATGTTACAACAAACAAAAGAAAGCACTTTCCACATTTTAAAAGCCGGAAGGGGAATTTTGAAAAATTAATAAATTGACTGTCGATCAGCTGATCAATTAATGATCGCAGAGGTGGGCGAGTTATCTAGAAGTGGGTATACTCATGTATTCAGAGGGCTTTTGCCTGATAGGTGGGTGTAATATAAACCCCGTATACCCTCCACTACACCACTGACTGCGGCTTTAAATTGCAGCATTACATTAGTGTTACGGATTAACTGGTTGGCCAGGTTGTTGGTACTTTAGAGAAGCAAACGTTTGGTGGGAACGGGTTTCGGTGGAACCAATCTATAGTTTACTTTTATGCAAATACGATATTCATTGGACACACCACGCATTAGCTAAAACTAATGCAGTAAATTAGAGTTGACTAAATATTACAAACGCATCTCTGTATAATAAAATAGTCAATAGCGCTACAAAATACTCCCTCCAAAATGACCACGTAAATCAATCAATAACGTATGAAACAGTTTTAACATTTTAACCTTCAAGAATGTGTTATTTGTTGCAGGTTATACCTAATAAACTCGCAGCTGGGTGTGTGCATGTGCCTATTGATGATTGTTTTTTAGATATTGGCTTTGGAAACACGTGCAGACCGACGGTAACAACGGAGCGTGGCGGGAGACCGCAGCTCACCTCGGGTCCTCGAACTGCACGAAGGCGAACGGCGGTCCTCCTCTTCGGTTCTTCAGATCGATATCGCGGATGGCTCCGTATTTGTAGAACAAATCTTCCACGTCCTTTGAGCGGATATCAGGGGGAAGATTACCCACGTAGATACGACAATCGTTGCTCCCCGCAGGTCCTCGGACTACACCTCCGCCAGACATGTTAGCACAGAACTAGCTAACAATAACAGCTAGCTAAGGAAGTTAGTAAAACTGGCCGAGCAGACGTTAGGATGGCGCGTAGATATATAACTGGATAGAATATATAGTCGGCGAATTACGTGATAGCTATGTAGCTAACGGTACAGCTGAAACCTTCGGGGTGGATTTCCCAAATATAAAAATTCACACGAGCTAAAACTTGTGCGCCGCGACCGTAGCCTTCCTCCAACAAAGCGCTCTTCTTCTGTGGTGCAACGGATTACAACCACCTTTAAATGTGCACACACCGCCACCTACCGCACAGTAGTGGAAGTGTCCTCCATCCCGTTGAGTTTAAAACAAAAAGCTCTAGCCTTTGAAACAAAGGTTGATTAAAAAAAACTATGTCACCTCAACGTTCATAAAGGAGCTTTTCTGAAGCTTTTGATCATATCAAAATACTCAAGTGTTCTTATTTTCTTGCTAACCACAGAAAAAAAACACATGAGTTACAACTTAAGTTTTTATTTGTTAATAACTTAGAAAAGAAAATGGAATTCAAATATAAAATTTGTACACATTTATAACAATTCAAGCGTTCCAGTATGCAGTGTTACACAGCGTCGGCAGCCATTCATTAAAATCTTAAAGTAAACACAATTCCTTACATGAAACAATAAATTACCGTTTTGTAATTTCCACACCCCAATGCTGCAAACGAGTCTTGCTTCATGCACACTGCTGTACCTAAATGTCAAGGCCACTGACAAAACAGTTCATAACGTGTGTTTTGTCCAGACCACCTGTTCATCACATCTTCCCTTCATGCGTCCTCAGTCCTTTTTGGCTTGCTTCTCTCTGCGTTTCTGTCGAGCGTCAGACACTATTTTGAGCAGCGACAGAAGAATAGGCACACACATAGGCAGGAAGAGGGGTATGTAGATAGCAAACTTCTGGTCATCAGGGAAGTAGAGGAGATGCAGGAGTGAAGGGTCAAAGAAGGCCCTCTCTGATGCCAGGATGGCCTCTTTACTGTACTGCAGAGCAAAGCGGAGGTTCCCGGCCTCCAACTCAGCCACAGCCAGCTGGAGAGACGTGACGGCACTGGACACCTGAGGAAATATGAATCAGAATAGTATAACAGGCAACTTCTTTTTGAGTTGAAAAAAGCACTGTAATTTGTTCATTCATTCAGCCTGACATTGTGTTCCTATAAGCAGCTTACTACTGATTAATGCAAGGGTGTGTGTGCTTCTTACCTGTTCAGCAATGTTATCATTGATAACAATGTTGCCTATTTGGTCCAACAGCTGTGCCAGTGACGTGATGGTCGTGGTTGCTGTTGCAACATTCTCCACAGTCCGACTCCACATGAGACGGTCCAGCTCCCAATCGGCTAGGCCTGTGCTGCCGCACGGTGCCACCAGGAAGCCAGAGGGAGCGGTGGATGTCTGCACACCCAGCAACAGTCTGACAGAACACGGTGCAGCAGAGTTACCTCGTGTTTACATGAAAAGCTATACGCCCGTCGTACAGTAGGTGTCCACTTACCGAAGCTGTGCGAGAAAGACTCCCATGACTTTGGCCATGTCGATGTTGAGATCAACAGGGAACACAGCCTCTGGTCCATAGAAACTATTAACATTATAGATCTATAACAACATGGATAAGACATTATTTGGTTGATCTGGACCCAAAACAGCAAATGAAGAGTGCAAAATCACGATATACCTAACAAATTATTAGTAATATATGACATAGTCACTGAAAATGAATTCATAGTAGTCAGACCACTGTCACCCAGTGTTGCCTTAAGATTATTTTACCATAATTCCACCCCAACGTGGAGAGTGAAACGCATTAGAGGGCACTTCCTGTTTCTTGCGGTCATGAATGTGAAGGGGTGAATGATGGGCATCCGGGACGTACAGAAGAAAATTCAATACCGGGTTGGAAGATGCAGCATTTGAGCCTTAAAATCAAATGCAAAAAAAAAAGACAATTATATATAAATACATCAGGACAACTGACACAACATTCAGTGTGTGTTTTCTTTTACCCAGTCTAGCCTCCACAGGGTTGATCACATGGGCAAGGCTGTCAGAGTTGAGCGTGTAGGCCCCGAGGCTGCTGTCAAAGCGCGGGTTGACACCGAGCATGGCGTAGTATAAGGTCTGTGAGGAGAATATGTTCATTAACATACAATGGCCGAGCATCCTGTAACCGTGCACATTCACACACACACATTACCTGAGAGTCGATGCTAAAGTTGGCCACAGAGGCCAGTTTTGTGAGCAAAGGTTGGATGTAGGTCTGCACAGCACCCTCTATGTCCCAGTGCAGCCGGTGTGACTTTGGGTCTGGGTTCAGCAGACTGAATGTTATCTCATAACCTAAAGAGAAGATAGAAACAAACAGGAAAACACTGGTTACATAGTTAAAGCACACACTGACTGGATAAGGAAACCAAATCGGTCCACTCTGTGCTGAAACAAAGACCAACCTGGGCTGGATTTAAAGGCTCTCATGCTGTCAGCGATGCTCTCTTTGTTGCCAGGGCTGAGGCGGACTCTGTCGCTGAGGGCCGCGGTGATGTCGGTGTGGCTGAACGACATCACCTGCAGCACCTGCTTGGTCCGCGGCTCCAGGTGAGCCAGTAACTGATCCAGTGTCTTGCCCACTCTCATCTGGGCACCGATACGCAGCAGGGCTGTCCGCCGCTGACCGACATACACATCCACATCCTAAGAGGCATGAAGGTATATTACCGGTATCTACTACTACAGAGTCTCAGCTGTGCAGAAAGTACTATATTGTACTGTATCTCTAAGAAGTAATGATACACTAAATTCCACAGAGATACATGAGCTGAGAAAAGTTAAAGTCACCATTCATCATAACATAAAACTATGCACAGACAGAATATGAAAGGATCAACAGTACTCTTTAAAACTAAATACAAGGGGGAACAAAAAGAGAGATTTAAAAAGAGAGTTTTAACCTCAGGCAGCAGTGAAGATGACTCTGGGATCACGTACACAACCAAAGAGCCACACGGACTCTCACTGAGCGTGTGCAGAGATAGATCGGCCTCTGTAAACAGAAGAACGAGAGAGAAGGAGAGAAATTATGATCCGCGGTCTCACACCGAGTTAGCAAAAGAGCTGAAAGCACGATTTGACGGGCAGACAACACCTCACCTGCAGCAGTGGGCTGGTTCAGGGCGTCCTCCTCCATGATCGTAGCTGTGCGGTACTTTGTCTCATACCTGTACCTCAAAGCGGTGTCCTCTGGAAACAAAAAAAAATAGGAGGCATTTATTACCTTGCAGTGTAACCACAAGACAAAACAAAGACTGCGTTAATGAATAAATCACCATCGACTGTGTGTTCCTCATCCTGTGTCTGTGTCAGTGGGAACTTCTTCTGCTGTTCTGGTGTCACCGTTCCACGCGCAAACACAACCTCCACATCAGCACTCAACTGTAGCTACAAAGATAAATAAACATGTATTACACATGAGAGGATAAAATGGATAACAAGACGGCAATATGTAATTAATAGCAGGAAGCATGAAGGAACCTGCAGATTAGACAACTCATTTATCTGAGTGACAGGCAGCCAGGCGCGGTAGGTCTCAGTGGTTCTCCACCACAGAGGGACGCCCACGATGATGACCACGGCTGCTATGGACAGAGCAGCCAGGTGGCCTCGCCTACGCTCTGAGAGACAGACAGTGAGACAGATGAGCCTCGAGGCATTACTGGACATACAGGCGTTACAACCGTCAGAGAGTTTGCCATTTACACTTGTTTGCTCTTCCTGTATTATCTCTGGTTGATTAGCAAATCAATGCACAGGGCTGTTTTATGGCAATAATGGATTTTTAAAATGTATATCAATGTGACGAATACCTTGATTTGTCACTAGACTAACCAATAACAGATGTTTCTGTCTCATTATTTTATACATTAACAGCTTTCCAAAAAAGTTCCTGTATCATGATTATATTGGTATCTCAAAGTACATGGCAGGCAGAGGATTGGCCATTGATTGAATAATATGTTTACATATCTGATTAGTCGATTAATGACGAGTACTACGTATTAAGATGCAAAGATGTAAGCTATAGTCAACATCAATTGGTCAACACACACAGCGACGTTGAATGGCTGCATGACCTGGTTTGGTTTTAAAACTAGAAAAATACAAAACACTGAGAAATTAGGCGTTTTACTCCATTTGACGAGAATTCAGGAACTACAATGTTGTTGTTCATTGTTAAATAAAACATACATAATGATGAATACTAGAACTAGAATAGTGATAGCTTCATTGCTAGCTAACTGCTGCTAGCTAACTGTTAGCTTCAGAGGGTCTGACCGTTCAGAAAGCGGCCTCGTGCTTGGGTCTGTTGTAACGGTTGCACGTGTGAAACGCGCTCTAAAAAGAGCTGTAAACGGGTATGAATGCTGCCTTTACGAAGGAGGGAAATCATGAAAACATGATTCAGTTGTGAAGCTACTCACCCACTTCCGTGGTAGCCATTTCTGTCAGTGAGCCGAATGGGTGCGTTTGTTATCCGGAAGAATACAGTCAAATATCACGTGATCGAAATTAAAAACTAAACGGGGCGGTTCATGTGGTACCACAGATACCTTCTTATATATACATTCTGTGTGTGGTACAACAACAGCAAGTCGTGCTCCAGATACATAGCCTTCTTATAAACAGTATAGCCGCAATTTAATTTAATTTAGTTAATATTGTATTTAACAAATCTTTGTTCGTCCTACACAAAGAGAAGGCGAGAGGGCAGTAACCGTCAGCCCACCCGGTGAACATTTCAAACGCAAAAACACAATGTGAGAAATTGGCAACCAGCGCCCCACGCGGTGGCTTAAATAAACACTTATATTTGTTCATAAATACACATTTGACCAGAAAAATAAACCTTCTGTCACTTACTTGTTTAGTGTCAAGACTACATACATTTTGAGGCTTACTAATGATGATGATGATCAAGCTGATCTCAGGATAGTTCTGGTGACCTTTTCTGGTATAACCTTTAGGCCACAAATGCAAGATTTAGCTGTATTGTGTTAAGGATGAAGTGTTCCTTAATGGGTTGAGGAAATTTGCTTACTTCTTAAACAAAAATATATTTAAAACCCTCTTTGATCAGCCGGAAAATGCATCACTTTTTGTCACTTTTCTGAGCTCAGGAAAAGTTTACTTTCTAGAGAAGCAAGGTTTGCACAGCACAACTACGCTACAAACATGTTCATATAGAATATGATGTATTACTGTAGACTACCCAAAAGTATACAGAGTAGTTGAAATCTGCACAACCATGAACTTCTACAGCAGTAAAATGCATTGTACACTAATGCACCAGTAAAACATCATATACAATAGTAAAAGTGGGTTATTGCTTAATACTTCTCCCACCACTGTAATTAACCAACTGGAAGTAAATAGGCTGGGTGAACATGACATATAAAGTAATACAAGAAGGCTATTGCATGACTGTCGTGACAAGTGTATCCAAAGATACAATTTTGGTATAGCCATCATAAGAATAGAGTCAATAATGCAACACAAAAAGATTTCGGGCTAGTTTTTTTAGTTCTTAGGTTTATTTTTCTCCACTATTTGACACACAAAGTGATTCAAGAACAATATTAACATCACACACATCACAGTATTCCAACACAGCAGTGACTGATTCCCCCCGCTGCTAACCCCACGTATTGGTCCACATTATGTCAATAGATACCATCTCATCTCCTGTGGGGCGGGCTGGGGGGAATCAGGAGGGGGGTGGGGGAGGGGGGTGACATACACACAAGCATCACATAATATCGACAGCTTCACACAACTGAATACATGTATTACTGCATGTAGTTTAAAGATAATGTTATACTGAGAATAGACACACAAGATGTTCTCTGATTAGAGGCGTGTGAACAGAAACGTTAAGATGAATCTTGGTGAGGGTCTACAGACCTCTGCTGGACCTACAAGCACTCCGCACTCTTGGACAGTCGCTCAAAAGATCAACTTAAATCTGAAAAGTCAACGTCTTCACACTGTTCGTCTTAGTCTCTTGTCCCTTAATGGATATGTCGATGCCACTAATAAATCAGTTGGTCTCACTGTCAGGCAGGATGTTAGTTTAGCGCTTTAAGGATGAGCCAACACTGCGTTTTTGACAGAAGCGAAACACCGACACACACAAACACATACACCTCCCTGTTTGGGAGTGGCTCAAGATTTATCATGTGGGGGAGAAAGTGAGACAGAATCCTGACTGATTATCATGATCTACTGTTAATGTTGTTTAGCTTCTGATTTCCTAATTTTGATTTGTTTGGTTGTATAGAAATAAAAACAAGCCTGTTCCCGTTAGTATGTTAGTTTCCCATTATGTTTCTAAATACACTTCTAATCATGGAATTTATATTAACTCTGACATCTCTAAAGTACAGTAGACAGCGCAGGCCTGTGATTGATGGAGGAGTGAGGGGGAACAGCAGAGCAGATATAAGACTATAACTAGACCACAGTGTAATGTGGCGGATGTTTAGTAGGCGTGATTCGCCACGTAGAGGGATTTTCCCGCGGCGGTACCGCTGCCAGAAGACTCATACTTGCCGAGCGCAGCCAGACCGTTTGCCTGAAGAAGAGACGAAAAAAAGGGTCTGTTAACAACATCGCACAGAGGGAGTTTCGGTAACATTCTCACGGTTCGCGGTTTTGTCGGACCTCTGCGCGTTTGATGAACTCCTCGGCAGCGGCCTTCTCGTTGTTCAGCTCTCCTCTCCATGCGTTCAAGGCGGAGGCCTGCAGGGCCCGGCCGTAGGAGAAAGTCAGCGCCCAGGGCTTGGCGAGTGGACAGTTGTTGATGGCGTTGAGGTTCATGCTGGCCTCTTCTTCAGACTGGCCACCTGACAAGAATGTCACTCCTGAGAATAAAACAGAAACAAGCAAATACAGACATTATTTATCTTCTCAAACCTGATTTCATACACTGAAGCCTTCAAATGTTATAAATGGAAATTATCTGGCCTTCTTAATATCAGCAGTTGGAACAAATAAGGTATCCTGATGTATAACAATGCATTCTCTTACAATACATCCGAATAATTTCCTATGTAATTTTCCAGAAAGTACTGTATTGTAATTTGGCACTAATTATATGTAAAATGGAGGCAGCACTCGACTGGTACGCATCCAATTAATTCATTCCAATTATACGCTTAGCTAACACACCCTGAAGTCATAGCACAGCAGGTCAGTTATACAAGCAAGCATACAATTCAATTAATACTGAACAATTCCCAGCAATAAATGAGTGATGAATAAATATTTACTTTAATTAAACTGTTTAAATGGACGTAATGCAGCTAAATTAAATACTGACGAAAATATAATAACAGTCTTAAATGTCTCTCTATTTCACTTCAAATCTGTATCAAATCACAGAATCATTTCCAGTAAAATAAATGCGAAAATTATTCAGAAATAATAAAAATTTACACAATACATTATTTATACTACAGCAGCAAGTGTATTTTTAGAATAATAAATAGATTTGAGGTCCGTCTCTGACCCGTGACAGCAGGAGGAACGGTGCGGCGCAGGGCGGTGACGGTAGCCATCGCGATTTCCTCGCTGCTGTACTTGGTGGGGCAAGCGTGTCCAGGTGTGACCATGTTGGGTTTCAGCAGAGTCCCTTCCAGGTATACATGGTGGTCTGACAGGGCCTTGTACACTGCAGCTAGGACCTAGCAGCAGGAGAGAGACGCTTGTATGTCAAACAGAAACTTTACGGGACGTTTACACTGGTTTGTGTCATATAGTCTTCAGTAAATTCACCTTCTCACTGACGTACTGGCAACGCTTCAGGTCATGTTCTCCATCAGGAAGGATCTCAGGTTCCACAATAGGAACAATACCATTCTAGGAGACATTGCAAAGTATACGTTTAAGGCAAACTCTCATATTAGATATGGATCATATCCAAGAGTTTGTTATAATGTTCAAAAGTGTGTCCCACATTTAATAAAAATTAAATATCTTTAACATTACTAAACAACCCTCCCACCAACCTGCTGGCAGATGCTGGCATATCGTGCCAGAACATTAGCGTTCTCTAGGATGGCCAGCTCGGAGGGCGTGGTGTCGCTGATCTTTAGCACACTGCGCCACTTGGCGAAGTCCGCGCCGTCCTTCTTGTACTGCGCACAGCGCTCAGACAGCCCGTCCAAACCTGCACTCCAACACACACACACACACACACACACACACACACACACACACACA